GAGGGGACACATGTTGATGTAGAAGAGACATGAAGAAGAGGGGACACATGTTGATGTAGAAGAGACATGAAGAAGAGGGGACACATGTTGATGTAGAAGAGACATGAAGAAGAGGGGACACATGTTGATGTAGAAGAGACACGAAGAAGAGGGGACACATGTTGATGTAGAAGAGACATGAAGAAGAGGGGACACATGTTGATGTAGAAGAGACATGAAGAAGAGGGGACACATGTTGATGTAGAAGAGACATGAAGAAGAGGGGACACATGTTGATGTAGAAGAGACATGAAGAAGAGGGGGCACATGTTGATGTAGAAGAGACACGAAGAAGAGGGGACACATGTTGATATAGAAGAGACACGAAGAAGAGGGGACACATGTTGATGTAGAAGAGACATGAAGAAGAGGGGACACATGTTGATGTAGAAGAGACATGGAGAAGAGGGGACACATGTTGATGTAGAAGAGACATGAAGAAGAGGGGACACATGTTGATGTAGAAGAGACATGAAGAAAGAGGGGACACATGTTGATATAGAAGAGACATGAAGAAGAGGGGACACATGTTGATGTAGAAGAGACATGAAGAAGAGGGGACACATGTTGATGTAGAAGAGACATGAAGAAGAGGGGACACATGTTGATGTAGAAGAGACATGAAGAAGAGGGGACACATGTTGATGTAGAAGAGACATGAAGAAGAGGGGACACATGTTGATGTAGAAGAGACATGAAGAAGAGGGGACACATGTTGATGTAGAAGAGACATGAAGAAGAGGGGACACATGTTGATGTAGAAGAGACATGAAGAAGAGGGGACACATGCTGATGTAGAAGAGACATGAAGAAGAGGGGACACATGTTGATGTAGAAGAGACATGAAGAAGAGGGGACACATGTTGATGTAGAAGAGACATGAAGAAGAGGGGACACATGTTGATGTAGAAGAGACATGAAGAAGAGGGGACACATGTTGATGTAGAAGAGACATGAAGAAGAGGGGACACATGTTGATGTAGAAGAGACATGGAGAAGAGGGGACACATGTTGATGTAGAAGAGACATGAAGAAGAGGGGACACATGTTGATGTAGAAGAGACATGAAGAAGAGGGGACACATGTTGATGTAGAAAAGACATGAAGAAGAGGGGACACATGTTGATGTAGAAGAGACATGAAGAAGAGGGGACACATGTTGATGTAGAAGAGACATGAAGAAGAGGGGACACATGTTGATGTAGAAGAGACATGAAGAAGAGGGGACACATGTTGATGTAGAAGAGACATGAAGAAGAGAGGACACATGTTGATGTAGAAGAGACATGAAGAAGAGGGGACACATGTTGATGTAGAAGAGACATGAAGAAGAGGGGACACATGTTGATGTAGAAGAGACATGAAGAAGAGAGGACACATGTTGATGTAGAAGAGACATGAAGAAGAGGGGACACATGTTGATGTAGAAGAGACATGAAGAAGAGGGGACACATGTTGATGTAGAAGAGACATGAAGAAGAGGGGACACATGTTGATGTAGAAGAGACATGGAGAAGAGGGGACACATGTTGATGTATAAGAGACATGAAGAAGAGGGGACACATGTTGATGTAGAAGAGACATGAAGAAGAGGGGACACATGTTGATGTAGAAGAGACATGAAGAAGAGGGGACACATGTTGATGTAGAAGAGACATGGAGAAGAGGGGACACATGTTGATGTAGAAGAGACATGAAGAAGAGGGGACACATGTTGATGTAGAAGAGACATGGAGAAGTGGATTTTGCATAATAGGTGACCTTTAAAGCTTTATGTCGTGGCTCATAATGTGACCAAGTAAGTTTGTGTAAAATGTTAACACTCCACCTGTGTGTGTGTGTTTGTGTGTTTGTGTGTGTGTGTGCAGCTACAGCACAATGCTGGCTTGTTGGGAGGCCGGACCCTCAGATCGACCCACCTTCACTAACCTGGTGGAGACCCTGGGAGACCTGCTGCAAGCCCGCGTTCAGCAGGTCAGGCTTTCTTCTTTTGATCTAGCTTCTTGAGGCTTATGATGCATCTCCTAGCCAACCAATAACATCGATAAGCTTACAAAAAAACATATATTATCCCCCAAATAATCCGATTTGATTCGTCTCTTTTACAGGAAGGGAAGGATTACATTCCTCTGGGGTCTTTTACGGCTGGAGAAACTGGTCGCAGCGTGACATGTAAAGAAAACCCGCTTGCAGTCACAAACCTGAGGTAAGGACTCCTTAGAGAGGAAATAAAAACATTATATTTAAGCAATAGCTCACGACAGGCCGTGGTATATGGCCATTATATCACAGTTAAGGGGCGTGGTTCGGCCCGACGCGAAGCTGCAGGCAGTTTGCTTTTCAGCCCAACTGTATACTGTTTATCTCAGACGCGGAGGGATACTGACTTGTTGTGAAAAGTAACTTACAATTCTACCCGTGGTATACGCTCAGTATACCACGGGTAAGAACCAATCAGATTGCTTGATTTGACTTGTCCGTTTTATAATATTTGATATACAGCATGAAGATGTCAAATGTACACGTAAACAAGTATGGTGGAGAAGTACTGTGGTGTAATGAATATGACAAAAGGCAGAATGAACAAGATGGATGTGAAAGAGATGAGAGCTGTGAAAGGTAACTGAAACTCAATTCAGAAACAACAGGAAACAGGTTGAGAAAGAAGAAAAAATTCAATGTTTTGAATCCAAATCTTTTCCTCCAGTTACATGAGGGGTATGGCCACACTTCAGACATTTGAGGAACTTCCCTGCGTGGAGCCAGACAGCCTGAATGTAAGAAAACGTCTTCACTTCTGCTTGAATATACACACAAAAGAAACAGTAACTCTCTGACAGTTTGCATGTTTGCAATCTGTGCTTCAGGATGAGCTGAGTGACAGCGGCATGGTCCTGCCGTCCGAAGAGCTGAAGCACGTGACGTGGAATAAATGCACCAAGAGCGAGAAACTGAGCAGGTAATCTGTAATCTCTCAGTGACTCGCCTCCTAACGTCCTGTCGTCTGTCACAAGAACACACAGTGAGGTTGCAAACAATCAAAAATATACTTGTGATGTGAAGAAAACAGTTAAGATATGATTCTATGAAGACAAAACTAGTTTGTATTGTCTTAAAATGTATGAAAGGCTGATAAAAGGTATAGTATGTCGGAAAAAAAAAACGTCATAGTATAGTATGTAAAAGAATTTGAAAAAAAGTCATAGTATGTCGAAAAAACTTCATAGTATGTCAAACATTTTTTAAAGATACTTAGTGTAGTATGTCGAATACATTTAAAAAACAACTTAGCACGTATGTCTAAAAACATTTTTTTTTAAATGGTATCCTATGTCTCAAAAATGTCATAGTATAGAATGTCGCAACATTTGATAACAAAATAATAACACGTCTCTTTTTGTTTATAGGCTTTTTTCTTTCACTAAGTGCCGGGACCACCCGATGCCTTTCTTCTGCGATGACATCAGCGGTCTCCGTAGCAACGAGCCGTCCATCCTGCCGTCTGATTGGGCGTCTGACGAGGGCAGCTCCCCTCCTCCGGACTACAACTCTGCTTTTCTGTACCCCTCCCTCTAGCATTTGTTCTTAGGAAACTTAACGGGTGTATAATAATTTGTATTAACCTAGAATTTAATCTTCTTTTCAACTTTTCTTTTTTGCATACTCTACCTCGTTATAGTATTTGCATGTCCTCCTTTATCTCCGTCCAAGATCATTTCTCTTGATCCAACACACTTTCTAGTATTACCAAGTATTACCTTGCCACACATAAACCCCTTCTAAGAGCAGCTTAGTATTACCCGATAGTACTTATAACATACAATTATGAAGAATGTATGTACTGACCAACAAGTAGAGTATTGGTACCTTATGTACTTAGCTTTGTGAAGAGGAACATGCTGTATTCAATAATGGTTCCTCCTGCATAGCTGCCTTATGCTGGAAAAGATGTGTAATCCACTGAGTATGTGTTACATAAGATGTATGAAGATAGTGTTGTTTTTATGTTTCAATGAACTTGTTTTAAAATATAGATTTCATTTATATTATTAAAAACTGTTATGTAGCTTATTGCAAAACAATACGAGACCCTATGTATCAGTTTCTGTATTAAAATACACACATAACGTAAAATGTGAGATAGTTGTGTTTGTGTGGGGGAGAAGTGTGTCACTCATTAACTGGAGTGTGTTCTGATGTGGAAGATACTGGGTGTTTCTCAATGTCGAGGACGCTTCCTTGGTAGGACATGTCCCTCCGAGTCAGGTCCTTCAGAAGCGAGGCAAGAATCCTTCCTAGGCTCGGAAAACGAAGAATGGTGGAACAGGCTAACAGGTGTGCGTCATATGCGAGGCCCCGCCTTAAATGGAGCGCGATTTCCGCCAAAGATTTGGGAAATTGGTCCGTGCGCAAAGCATTGTGGGGATTTTTAAGAGCGCGGAGGATACACATGTGCAGCCTCGACATTTCCCGCAACGGAGTACGGGAGAATTCCAAGTATGCTGGACATTGGAATAGTCCTTCGGCGGGACTCGATGACGTAGTATGCTTGAAATAGTGGCTCTGGAGCAGCCTTACTCAACATTGAGAAACACCCATGGATTGCAGAAGGGAATTGAGTGATAACCGTTTTTCTATTTTTTGACATGTCGTTTTTTTTTGCATTTTTGACATATCATACCAATGTCGAAATAAGGCTTTTTTGTCCTTTTTTTCAACTTGCTATACTATGACTTTTCGGTCATTTTTAACGACAAATATATTTTTCAGACTAGAGGGGACCTTATCTAAAAAGATATATGCATGCTATTTGACTTTTCTGTCATTTTTACCGACTTACTATACCACGCCTGGTTTCTACACACTACACCGTGCTTTACTGCCACATAAAATACCATGTTTTTATGTTGCATTTTTTATACTATTTCAATATTTGCTAAATAAGACAAGGCCATACATCCTTTCGTTTTGGTATTCTTTATTAAAATACTGCTGTACACACAAATATTGCAAAATTTGAGACAAGAGAACACAAGAGGGGCATCAAACATACTAAGATGGTGATTGTTGTAGTTTTGTTTATGTGGGGGAGGAGAAGTTTGTCACTAACATATACTGGAGTGTGTGTGTGTGTTCTGATGTGGAAGATAGTGATATGAGCACTGACAATGTGGAGACCAAGTTGGTGTGTGTGTGTGTGTTTGTGTATTGAGGGTTTTCTATAGCACCACATTCACCAAGTAAGTTTGTCGGTTCATTTCACTAAAACAGAGGAAGTAGTACATGATGTTTCCAGCTTGCTGCAGGTGTGTTACCCCCAAGTACAGAATATCAACTTTCACGACAGCTTTGACAAGACACTGTTCTCGTTTACATTAGCCTCCTTGATTTGTCTCTTATCCGACAGTGTGCTTCATACAGTACATGAGACCCTGTTTTTCTACAGTCTTAAGTTGTACACACCCGTCAAAAGCTACTGAGAACCAATCTAAGGCAGAGAAATCAAAAACAGTGGTTCGACAGCGCTTGGATTGATCTCTTTATCAGGGTGAAGCAGGTTTGCACAATATTCATTAAGTGACTTTGATTCAAAGAGATTCAAATCATCAAAAAGGAGTATGAACCGTACTTAAGGGCAACATGAAACCCCTCACAGCATGATCTGCACAGTGCCAGTAACTTCCTTAACCCTCCGCCTGGAGATGCTCCACCTGCTCCACCTTAGCGAATCTATCTGACTGGACAGGGGGTCGCCAATGACAGCCAAACACATTCAATCATTGGGCCCCTCCAGCTGTTTGTCATCCTGAGAGAAATCCAAGCCACCCGAGTGAGAGACCACTGCTTCGTCTCCAGCATATTTATATTCCATGATCTTTAAAAGTCAAACATAAAAAACTGTTGGTGCCCTGTTCTCCCCTTCGCCCTTCCCCTAAAACCCCTGCTGGAATTGGTCCACAGAATAATAACTTTTAATTGAGGCAAAAACAACTAATTGTCGTCCCAGCTCCTATCATGCATTCCTGCACAATATCTGAGAAAAACACAGCTAGAAAAATCACAAAAAGTGTCACTTTTCAAATGTGGAGGGGCCAAGTGAAGAAAGGGATAAAAGCATGAAGAAGAGGGGAGAGAAAGAGAGAGAAAGGGGACATATGGGGGGACAAAAGAATGACATTCCACAAAGAGGCAGCTGTGGCTCCACCTCAACAGAAGGGCTACAACCAGGTGCTGGACAGCTGAACCAAAACCACCCACCCTTGAGCAGTTCATGTCACGATAGCGGCCATTAACCAAAGGCGGATGCTGCATATGTAACAAAATCATGGTAGGCGGCAAAGGGAGAAGACACTCCTTCCCCAATGCCAAAAGAAAAAGTTTCAACCTTTCAAACCCCAGTCCGTGCCCACACATATGAGCCTGATGTTCCACTATTTCCTGAATGAAAATGTCAGAAATCCATCGATTGTTCCAGTTTGAAGAGCCCACCCACCCAAGTGGTTTGTCCTTTGTGTGGGGGAACCAAAACCAAGGCAAAGGTGGGCTGGCCCATTTCATGAAACAGGAGCCATCCCACCCCCGTGAAAGCCTCGAGTGGTATGTCCCGTCGGTCAATAGAAGGCTGGATTTATTTTTGTTTTTTGTTTAAATTCTTAGTCTGCTCTGGTGTTCATGTCCGTGTGTGACGTTAGCTCTCTTTAAACCCTGCAGGCCACTCACACATATCCATAAAAAAAAAAAAATTAAAATCTTAGTGCATCCTCCTCAGACAAAATAAACCCCAACTGTAGAAATAAACAATAAAAGCCGGAAAAATGTTCAAAACCTCATGGTTTGTTTCTTGTCGTGTTCCCCAAATCTAAAAAAATGTCATCATACTTGTTCGTCACAGCTTCCGTATTTGTCCTTTTTCGTTTTGTTTTTTTTGTCCTTTTGATTTACGTTTTTCAGCTGCGGGGTTTAGGAAAACTAAAAAAAATACACTTTAGAAAAAGCCTTCCTGGTGGACACGGTCAGTGTATGTGACTGAGGTTCACGAAGCCCCGCCCCGCTGCCTTGGCCATGCTGATGTCATCTCCACGAGCCTGGTCCTCCGCTGTAGTGCAATAATGTGCTCCAGGTACGGGCAGTCCCCCCCCCGGGCCCACAGGGGGCGCTACAGGGAGCCGGAGGCCGCCGCCTGCAGCTCCTGGAAGGTGCTGTCGAAGCAGCGCTTCAGGTCCGAGTACGTCACCACCAGCACGCTCTTCTCGTCCCGGGACACCAGGCTCATCTTCTCAGGAACACCCGCGTCCAGCTGGGGCAAACAAGAGGATTCAGTTTTTAACAGAAACATTTATGGAAGCAAATTGTTATTTCTAAGGACTTCAAAGTACAGATAGAACCGCTGATTAGTCAATTGTCAAATAATAATCTAACTGCCAAAAACCAAAAGCTAGACCTTATGACAGGTTCTCTCATCTGAGGATTTTACGTTTTTATCTCCTGTGATTGTAAACTCACATTGGACTTTAGGTATAGAGGCGAAGTCCCTCCCCTTCCGGGGGACCTTTTTCCGACCTTGTTTCGGAAAAAGTATGCATTGAAGTCAATGGCGAGAGAAAGATTATCTTTCGATCCCGTTTGAATTGTGCCACGAATTCAGTTTGTCAATCTTAAAAAATAATTTCCATGTCAAAAAAGTCACAGTTTTGTCGTAAAACTGTTGAAATATAAGACTATGAAAAATACGCAATTAGAAAGACTACAAATCCCAGAGTCCCGGTCCTGCATGCTGGCTCTTATGAACCGACTCACTCCCCTTGTGTGTATGTACAGCTCTCAACATGCCCAGACTTGGAGTGATTTTCACCTCTTTTAATACTTTTCACCTCATTCTGAAAGAAAGAAGTGAAATGTGCCAACGTGACGGCCGTCTGGGTGTGTGGTGCGAGACGGGAGATGTAGTTCATTGAGCGGTTTCACACCAAAACAGTTCACAGTTTTACGACACATTTTAATTTTTTTTACTTGCAAAATTATCTTTTAAATTGACAAACATCATGTGTGTAATTCGTGGCACAATTCAAACGGGATCGAAAGATAATCTTTCTCTCGCCATTGACTTCAATACATCATTTTTCCGAAATAAGGTCCCATGGAGGTCACCGGAAAAGCCTCTATGGACCATTCTTATTATACACAAAATAATCAGCAAGTCGATCGACGATTTAAAAATAATATTACTTGAAGCTCTTCTTTTTGGGAAGTAGTTTGATGGCGAGATAGATATCATGCGGAACTAATGATTAATATCATCTAAGAATATGTCGATTAAATAACGAGATAAGACGCGTGAAGAACAATTTGCCCCAGCTTCTGACTTTTACAGTGTGAAGAGGAACAGCAGAAGTGAGAAATACATGTGTCAATGAGTTCAGTCTGGGGACTTTTTTTTTTAGGGCTGCTTTAAGATGTTGGGTAAAGCATTTGAGATACGATTCATAGTTCAGTTCCACTCAGAGATTTGTGTTAGTTTCAATTATTAGCAAAGTGCTGCAGACTAACAAACACACCTAAACGTTTGTTGGCTGTAAAGAGTGAGATTGACACTTTCGTTGCTTCTGCCCGTGACCAGAAGCAAATCAAACATCCCCAATAGAAGTAGGCCGATAAAGAACCTACTTTCTCTGTTCTACCATCGGTTGGCCCATAAACACCGTTCTCACGCTTCCCTTCAGTCAGTGCATATGAAGCAGAAACAGAACGTTCTGAAAATAGGCGGCTTCGCATGTTTGCATAGGTCTCAGATATATACAAAACATGTCTCTGAAATGTTTGGCTCCAAACACCAAACAGATCATTGCAGCATCCCATAATCCCCTCTGTTTCAGCCCTGTTTCCAAAGTGCTGATTCTCTATCTGTTACTTTAGATGAAAATAAGGAGCCCCTCCCCACGCCCCTCTGAGAGAGATTTGGTTACAAAGAACTCAATGGTGCTCTAGGAGGAGATTCAGGTGATAAGGTGTGGGTGTGGGGGTGGGGGGGGGGTTACCTTGGTTGGTGATTGGCTAATGGTTACACAAGCCAAAAAAACATTATGACATCATAAAGTGGCCAAAATCTGATCAGCTCATTTTCAGACAGGTTTTTATAAAAATGGATCAGGACAAAAAGAGAGAGAATCTTTTTTCCTGAAACTTTCAGAGTCTCTTGACACAGAGAGAGGGGACACATGTTGATGTAGAAGAGACATGAAAAAGTGGATTTTGCATGATAGGTGACCTTTAAATAAAGTTCCTTAAAATGGACAACTTTTAACAACAAATGTCTGACCTTGTTGAGGCAGGCGACGATGTGGCTGAGGTCGATCCAGGGCGTCCCCGCTTCGGTCACCTGGTGGAACAGGTGGTCCCGGAAAAGCTTCAACAGGTAGCGATCACCCGTCTCCGACCACGTTGGGTCCTTCTGGAACCTGAGGCACACAGAGAAGGTCAGAGGGTAGTAACAGAACCACACACACACACACAGGTGGAAGTTAACACGAGTCCTACTTACTCTGGTCGCTCGTTGATGGTTCCCAGTTTGGCCAACAGGCGGAAGAGACGGCCGTTCTGCACCTCCTGCAAAAAGATTATTCATAATCACAAAACATTGTTGTGTCTCTGACAGTTTGATGAAGGGCTAGACCACAAAAGGGAGAGAAAAGAGTTTGAAGTGCAACATGTCCTTGACCAGAATATGACTGTCCATTTTTCTGTAAATATGTTGAACAGCTGGTGGGTGAATGAAACTGCACGGTCAGCAGCAGTAGCTTTTAGATCGAGGTTGAATCACACATCGTCACTGAACACAAGTAATATTATTATCTTGACGCTAGGGCTGTGCAATTAATCGTATTTTAATCGCAATTACGATTTTGGCTTGCCACAATTACGAAAACAACATAATCGAAAAAAACGATTATTTTGCTTTGCTAGGTTGTGACAGTGCACTGTAACATATTTGATCATATGTATTTGTATTTATCATATTTATATATGTTTAGTAGCTTGTTGAAGTGCGCTCCAAAATATTTGTTGATCTTGTTTATTGGTATTTATTATTTTGATATTATTTATTTAAATGTAGATATAAATGTATCATTTATTTTATTTATTTTTGTATTGGTTTTTCAGTTGAATTATACGTTCAGGGAAATCAACAGTTAAAAAGATACTGTTCAAATTATTATTTGTATTTAAAAGTTCAATAAATGGATGTTTTCAAAGTCAATGAATAATCGTATTCAATAATCGTGATATCAATTATTGACCAAAATAATCGTGATTATGATTTTTGCCATAATCGCACAGCCCTACTTGACGCACTAAAAATATAACCAACTTGAAGCAACAGACCTTTTGGCCCGAAGTGAGGGATATATTCTACAGCAACGTTCAACTTGGATTAGAAAACAGAAGCACTTTCTCATTGACACTACCCACTTAAAGTCTGTTGTCATTTAGATTTCCCACCATGACCACACTACTTGCTGGAGAGTATGCAGCCGAAGGATCAATTAAATACATAAACCTGAAACATGCCCAAAGAAAGGGGGGGGGGATTTATGAATGAAGAAACGTTGCGAAAGTAAAAAAGGCACAGGTGAACTGACAATTTACCCTTTCAAAAAAACCACTTCTCATCCCGGCAAGACCACTGTCACAAACTGAAACCGCTGCCACTTGAGTTTCTTCCCATACATGGTGCTTTACAGAAAACACTTCCTCCTTACTGGAACCAAAGAAAAGCTGCATTATCATCACTGAAAAACCAACTGTGATATTTTCTAGAACAGGGGTCTCCAACCTTTTTTAGGATGAGAGCTACTTTTACTCCGCAGTGTATATACTTAGCACATTTTAACATTATTATATGCTTACCTCTAACCTGTGTGTGCTGTTTGGGTCTGTGGGACCCGTTTTCAGTGTTTACTAAAAGAACATGTATGCAATCTAATTATTTTAACCTGCTTTATTTGGGGGTGGACCTCACATACTCTAGGGGGGTCCGGGGGCATGGGAAGGGTTAAATGCATCAATCTGGTGCACAAAATGAAGTTATGGATACAGCAAAAAAGATGTTTGGAGATTTATTTGAGTTATTCATTTTAATTTGTTGTCTAAGAGATGCTGATTTGAAACCGTTGTTACATACAGATACGGCATTTCCTGTTCCTGCCGGAGAGAGGGGAGTTTGTCCCAAAGCTTGCCGCTGTATTTACTCCCTCCATCTGACAGGAGGGAGCCTCGTTGAACTGCGAGTGTCACTCCACGGAGTTCACTCCGTCACGGAGGGGGAGTGTGTAGGGGTAGGGTGTGGGGCGTGGTTTGGGATTGGGCCTTCTTGTGTGAGAACATGCCAGCACTGGATTTCTAACGAAAATGTAAAATTTCCCTAGAGCCTGCTGCATTAAAATAATTTGCATCTGAATGTTTTTCAGAGTAGGGTTTCGTGATATATGAAATTCATTTGAATAATAACGTTTTGTTTGGTGCGCTATTTAAAATTGGATGTGCAACAACAAGTTGATCGACCGAAAGAAAACCACATATTCTGATAATCGATTCATTGTATTCAGAAATTGCAGAAGTTGTGTCTGGCTGTAAAATATGGAGATTTCCTGCTTTTGTTTCAATATTGTTGCTTAAATGAATGCTTGAAAAGGTGAAAAGTATAACAGAGAACGTGAGAACTTGAATTTAAACAAAAAAAACGTAATGATGCCACTTGCAGTCTGCAGCTTTACACAACAGTGTGATTATAAAGAAGCAAACGGGTCAGTCGTTTATGAAACATGACCCCAGGCTACGTATCAGGGAACCCAGGAATGACATGAACACATTGCGTCCATCTGGGGTTTCATGCAAATGTTGTGTTTTTTGACATGTTTATAAAAAAGAAAAGGCTTACGAGGAACATAAACCCCACTGCTTCTATTCCCTGCATACAGATCCACATTGAGCTGAGGCATTATGCAAAGATACCATGGGAAACCAGAAACGGTTACACTGTCCCAACAGCAGTTATCAGCAGATCACAGGCAGGCTGGGCCACAAAAACAAACCTACTTTTCTAGCCCAGTTGTATTACTACAGAAAGTAGTGCCTTGTTCTACTCTTCACTCTATTATGCTGGAACAAACTGCATGAATCGTGCACGTCTGCAGAAACTCTTACTATTTTCAAATCGAGACTGAAAACATGTCTTTTTGCCGCTGCTTTTAATTAAGCTGCTCATATTCACACTGCAGTTTGCTTTGTATTCATGTATGGTATAACTGTTGTGTTTATCTTATTATCTTTGCCTTTTAAATGTCTGTTGTAAAATGCCATTATATAATGTGTTTTTACTGTATTTATTTTATTTTGTAAAGCACTCTGAATTGTCGCGTACTGAAAGGTGTCTGAGATGCCATAAATAAACTTGCCTTGCCTTACTCTCCAGTTGCTATATGAACCAGTTAGCAGGTAGAAACACTAGCACAAACTACTTGCTGGATGTATAAAGTGCCACAGAGTTAAGGAGAAGTTGATAAACAAGAAGAGAGATGAGGTGAAGGTCGGCTTCACACATTCACTCCCTAACAAGGGACGGCTAAACTCAAGACGGGACTGCAAAGCCAACTATATACCATATAACATCCTGTGTGCACACAACTTCCCTCTTAGCTCACTGAACCCATGGCCTATTTCCAACCATTACCCAGAATATCAGCCTGACAACAACAGGACTGCAACATGCGCTAGGGCTGCTCGATTATGGCAAAAATCATAATCTCCATTATTTGGGTCAATAATTGATATCACGATTATCCATTTACTTACTAAAAAAATGTGAACAGTATGTTTTTAACAGTTGATTACCCTGAACGTTAAGTATAATTCAACTGAAAAAACAATTAAAAAAATTAATTTAAATAAAAATAAATTTAAAAATCGTTTTATTTCGATGTTTTCATAATCGTTGCAAGCCAAAATCGTAATTGCGATTAAAATACGATTAATTGAGCAGCCCTAACATGCGCTCTCACATGTGCTCTCTGGGTGTTTCTCAATCGCGAGTAAAGCTGCTTCAGAGCCACTATTTCAAGCATACTACGTCATCGAGTGCTGCCGAAGTACTGTTCCAATCTCCAGTATACTTGGAAATCTACCGAGCCCGGCGTACTCCGTTTGGAGAAATATCGAGTCTGCACATGAGTAGACTTCGCGGTCTTAAAATCCCCACAATGCTTTGCACACGGACCAATTTCCCCAAATCTGTGGCGGAAAATGTAAAGCGGGGCCTCTCATATGACGCACACCTGCACACTTGCTAGCGTGTTCCACTCTTTGTTTTCAGAATGCCAGGAAGTATTCTTGCCTCGCTTCTGAAGCAAGATGCTCGGCAGACATGTGCTACCAAGCAAGCGTACTCGCGATTGAGAAACACCCTCTGTCTGCTCTGTGCCTTGTGAGACAGTGGGTGTTTCTCAATCGCGAGTAAAGTTGCTGCAGAGCCACTATTTCAAGCATACTACGCCGAAGTACTGTTCCAATCTCCAGCGTACTTGGAAATCTACCGAGCCCGGCGTACTCCGTTTGGAGAAATATCGAGGCTGCACATGAGTAGACTCCGCGGCCTTAAAATCCCCACAATGCTTTGCGCACGGACCAATTTCCCCAAATCTGTGGCGGAAGATGTAAGGCGGGGCCTCTCATATGACGCACACCTGCACACTTGCTAGCCTGTTCCACTCTTTGTTTTCCAAATGTCAGGAAGTATTCTTGACTCGTTTCTGAAGCAAGATGCTCGGCAGACATGTGCTACCAAGCAAGCGTACTCGCGATTGAGAAACACCCACAGACTGAAGAAATGCACCTTCACATACCTTAGCCAGATCCTCCTCAATGACATCATTCCTCATCTGCGATGCATCCAGTTGTGTGTAGAACCGAGCTCCAATCATTGGCATTATGTCATTGACGCTGCGCGGGCGAGACTGTTCAGTCAGCAGATACCTGCACACACAGACACTTTAGTTTGACTTGTGGTTTCTTGGAAAGGATGGATAAAGACTCTTCCACAAAAAAACTTGACAGGGTATATTTTTTGCCAAAAGGAGCATAGACAAAGTGTGACACCTAAAATCCTTTCCGCTACATAATACCAGCATTGTTAATGTAAAGTCTGAACAGGAATGTTTACTTAATTTAAGCAGACTTGCCAACCAGATTCCAGCTTTGTCTAATTTGTTAAACGTGGCATTTATGAAGGTTCTAGATGGCTGGGAGGCTTCAAGAAAGTAAAACTGCAGAGGTCTTAACTTGGCCAATCAAATTTAAGAAGAACATTTAAGAGATCAAATCACCTTGGGAGTTGTTTTAAGCAAACTGTGATCAGAGGTTTAAGTGTAAAAGCTTTGGTAGGCAACATAGGACAAGTGTTCGGGGGTAAACTATACAAAACGAACGGAAAATGCCAGCCCATTGTTTCCAACTGTTTTCCAATGAAACCAACGAGAAAGTCCCAGAGTTTGCAGCACTGACAGCTCACATGATCAGTATGAACTATCACAACAGTATGGCTTTGTTAGCACTCACAGCTGTCAGGGTAGCAGCGCCTGCCATGTGTGCATTTTTCACTAAACCAGTTCGTACACATGTGTCAAACTCAAGGCCCGGGGGCCAAATCAGGCCCGTGGTGGATTTAATTTCGGCCCGCAGGATCATTTCTTATTACTATTAGATCTGGCCCGCCGGTATATTGCACCTTCACTCAATCCTGAGGGTTTCCTCAAACATTGATGAACTTGCACCCAAGATGAGATGCCAAGTGTCTGGCTTGAACTAGCATCACAGAGCAGCACACTGAGTTTCAATGGATGTTTCCTTCTGCACTTGTTTTCTTGAGACAACAGGGCATGTTTGGTTTTTTCTTTCAGGGAAATAGCTTTGTTGAAGCTGTTGTTGGCCTGTGGAGAAATGTAATCGTAAGAAAGGACTGAGGAAAATCTGCAGATAGATCCATAAGAAATGAATGCAACTGATTATTTAATGTTGTTTTTATAGGCAATCATTTAAGCTTTGTTAGTTCCAGGTTTAATATGTGCAATAAGTTCATTTCAATAAGTTCTGCAATAAACATTGAACCAGTCCGGCCCTCGAATAGTACCCATTTTTTAATTTTGGTCCACTGTGTATTTGAGTTTGACCCCCCTGAGTTAGTAGGTACGAACTTTCTTATCAAACTTTATGTCAATTTTCGATTCTATGCAATTTCCCACGAGCTGCACCCCCCTCCCTTTCTTACAGGATCAGGTTCTTGAGGTCTGAAGAGTAGTTGATGGACACCAGCTCCATGGCCTTCTGCAGGTTCTCCCTCTGAATGCCGGCCAGGGAGTTGCATGCCAGCGCCAGCACCACCTTGCCCAGTGACACTAGGTCTGCTTGCTACACAACAGAAACACACACATATCACAGAGGATACCGTTACAAAGAGCTTTTCCACACATGCTGGCGTTAAGTATTGACATGTTACTCCTTCCATTAGCACTTCAAGTGTAGTTCAACACAAAGTCGTCATAAAAAGTACCTGGTACTGTGGCATTAGGGCAAGATGATTGGTCTGACTGCTGTCAAAGGTTAAGACATCAAACACCCCGACACAGTTCACCCGTAACCTGCAGAGATAAGAAACCATCGTCAGTAATAGCTTAGTCTGAGTGTGCACAGCAACATGGTTGTGGTGGAAAAGGAAGCGTAAACTGAAAACACTCTTCCGCTTTCAATACATTTTCAGTAAACGTATCTCCACTTTCTGAGCTTGAAGGAAATTCACACTGCTCTGTGCACCAGGGTCTAATTAACAGCATTTATCAATGATGATAATGAGGTGTTAATGTGTGTGTACCTGGTCTTGCCAGTAATGAGAATCTTGCTGGGGTCCATGACGCGGCAGGCCAGGCCGGCGGTGTGGACGGTGCGCAGGGCCGAGCTCAGCTGGACGATGTAGGCCCAGATCAGAGACTCGGGGAGCAGACCTGCGTGCTGCCGAGGCGGAGGAGGCTCATGTTGTCCTGCAAGAGAACACGTGCTTCATCACGATAACGTAGGCTGAAGGGTTAGACATTACTCATGAAGTAAAAACCCAAACTGTCATTAACTTCCTTGGCATACGTATCTTCAGGATAAACGGTCAGTTAGTCAGACACGTCTTTCTGTATAACGGTTATTTTCTATCATGATAATCTAACCTTTATGACACGTATTATACTCTAAGTTCGGGAAACAGTAAAAAGCCCAAACTGATATCTTCTTGACCAACAGTCCAAAAAACCTCAAAGACTTCAGTTCAAAATGATTTTAGGGCTGATAAACACTAAATGCAGATAACACTTTTGTTCGAATGACTCATGACATTTCTACAAACAGAAATGAAGTTCCCCGTTTCCAGAAATCATCCTTGATCAAAACGTAGGCTTGCTTGTAATATTCGGTCATACCACAAACACAGGGTTGGGTTAGCTTACTCTGGGGACTTGTGTGTGGGAGTGGACTGTAAAGAAAACCACAATGTCACTTTGAGAAAGAGATGGAACGGCTAAATTGTTCGTTTAGGCAATTTGAGAAATTAATTTGCACTTTATGATTGCGTGCTTTTGGGGTGTTTTTTCCCCGTGCAATTCTTAACAAATCAAGCGTTATGATTTGTTACTTACTGACTAGACAAAGCCGGAGTGGTTTTGCTTCCTCTGTCTGCAACTCTGCAATCCAGAAGGTAGGCCTGACAGCACCTGCTCTAGGATCAGTTTCAGCCACAGTTTCCTCCAAGTCCCAATGTCTCTATCTTACAGACACATGAACGGCCAACTGTCAAAACAGGATACCTCAAAACTCCCATCAATTGTTTGTTTTTTTGGAAGATTCATGACATCTACCAGAATGTCTTTGTTTTAGACAGCCTGCATTTCAATTGTAAACAGACACTTGGCCTTTAGCACAACTTTGGTTTCAACTTGGTACCTATATATTTTCTTGTGACATCCCAATAACATCAGGGTATATGCAGGAATCCTGAAGTCAAATGTAAGACCTTTTAAAAGACCCTTTCCATACATTTTAAGACCTCATCGCCACTTTGAGTTCTAACCGGTTACATTGGCGACACACTTTACCTCACATTCACTATATACAGTATTGATTGTCCTTCCTCCTTATCTTCCAACCATTTGGACGCAGACTTGCATTTCCCCATAACGATGTTGTTTAACAACCGGCGTAAACGGACCTTCGCGCTATCAAGCAGTGAGCGCGCGATGTCCTGTTCAGACATGGGCGTAGGAAGCATCCTCAATGTGGGTGGGACAATTTGACAGGGGGTGTAGGCTCACCTCCTCTAGGGGGGTCCAGGGGCATGCTCCCCCGGCAAGATGATTTTTGAAATATTGAAGTTAAAAGCATCAATCTGCTGCATTTTGAGAGCAAAGTTAGGAGATCTATGGACACATCTCTCAACACCCATATGAAACAGAACTGTAAACAGATTTACTTTTTCTTTATGCATATTTTACAAATCACTCCCCTTTTAAAACTGTATTTTTGTGGTACTGTCCTGTAGTATGAGTTGGAATTATTTCATACCTGTTATTCGCTTGTTTTTTATAACTATAATGATCATATAAAAGTGTGCCTTGGAAATACTTGTTTACATAAATGATTACCAAACCGTTTGAGACCTACTACTTAAGACTAAAGTGAACTATCTAAACCCTCAGAGAGTCCTTCACCTCACTGAGCTGTAGTTATCAGCCTCTCAGTCTGACAGGAGAGGACTCTCCCTCCACCTCCATAACAGCGCCTTATATCCGGGTGCTAGTGGAGCACGCTCGTGAACTGTTAGCGCCGGAGCCTCGCAGCGTGGAAACTGTGGCGCGCATAATTTTACAACTAAAGACACAGCTACACAAAAAATGCAGAATGTGCACGGCTCTGAGAATCTGCCTTGGTACAAAGGAGCAGTGAAAACATGGTACGGAGTTTCATTGATTTGGGCATTCTCTCAATAAGCAAGTGGAATGGATTTGATAATGAAGCACTGACACAGCGCTCTACAAAGAGCGGCGAGTGGATAGACCGATGCACGGACTTTCCGCATAGTAAAAGTGGGGGGGGTCTAAACTAATCATTTTAAAAGGTGCCATAAATAAACTACACAGAATCACACTACACACCTACGCAATGATTACATTCAGGCAAACTTTAGAATACAACCTCTTTGGACAATTTATATACTTATATACTAAATGTAATACCTTGCCGTTTAATACTTTTTAATAGCCTTCATTTTCGCTAAATTGATTTATCAACTTGTAATACTTTTTAAGACCCCGCAGACACCCTGATAATGTTTGAGTAGAAATCCTAATGCAGAAACATATATCCACATGGGTATATGTTTTAGAAGGGCTTGAGGCCAAGAAATATGTAATTAAAAAAAAACAATAATGTTTTATAGTCCGATATAGCTAATGATGGTTTTGAGCAGAACAGCAGGCATTGCACACTTATAGACACTCCCTTAAATAGACCTGTGTGACGACCCCATAAGCAAAGAAGAAAACAAACTCAAAATACGAGAAGCAGCAGGGTGCGAATTCAACCGCTGAGGTGATGCTGGGTCTATTTCAGGGAAATGCTGCAAGGTTGGAAGCACTAACTCACCCCACTTCCTCTTGGTGAAGAACGAGTCTGCTGCTGGGTCATTGAAGTGTCTGCTGAACATGGTCTCTGCACCCGCATGGAAGTCATAGGAGAACACTAAAGCTAGGGGGAAATTAAGGAAGGGGGACAGTGTTACTAACATTCACACCTCTATTTATCCAATTATTGCCACTTACAAATGACACACTTACAGTGGTCTCCGAAGGCCTTTGTGGTGAAGACCTCCCGCAGTGTAACAGAGTTCGAGTGCTGAATCTTCTTCCACATGTCCACCAGCATCATACACTTGGTGTTAACAAGGCGGAAACCTGTACACATTTGCAAAGATACACAACAGACAAACAGGCCATTAGAAATTAATAATTGGACGTCTTACAACACATCAGGGTATATGCAGGAATCCTGAAGTCAATGCAAGACCTTTTAAGACCTTTTTTAAGACCCTTCCCATACATTTTAAGACCTCATCGCCACTTGGAGTTTTAACCGGTTACATTGGCGACACACTTTACCTCACATTTACTATATACAGTATTGATTGTCCTTCCTCCTTATCTTCCAACCATTTGGACGCAAACTTGCATTTCCCCATAACGATGTTGTTTAACAACCGGCGTAAACGGACCTTCGCGCGCTATCAAGCAGTGAGCGTGCGATGTCCTGTTCAGATGACGTCAAATCCAACGGGATGCCATAAATAAACTACACAGAATCACACTACACACCTACGCAATGATTACATTCAGGCAGACTGTAGAATACAACCTCTTTGGACAATTTATATACTTATTGAAAACAAGCTACAAAATGTAATACCTTGGAAAATGACGTTTAATACTTTTTAATAGCCTTAATTTTCACTAAATTGATTTATCAACGTTTAATACTTTTTAAGACCCCGCGGACACCCTGTACATGCATTTCCTTTTCATTTTAACTGAAAGTGAGGAGGAATCATAATTTTTTTTTATAACTTTGTTTACCTAGTTGCCTTGTCAATACACATCATTTGACACATTGGCTATTTTGGTTGTGGTATATATGCATTTCCTTTTAAACGGTTGCCCTTAGAATGAATAAACCTCATATGTGTTATGATTCTTTGGAAGATAATTTGTTGTTATCGGCACATTTATTACCGTGTATCCTCCTCAGGCAGTAAGGCAGGTCATCCTTGCTGTTGACGGCCTTGTAGCAGGAGGTGATGTAGCTGAAGTTGCTGGTCTTCTGCATGCGGTTGGGTGGGGGGAGGGCCTCGAGGGGGAAGAGGCTGTGGTAGCTGTCCACCTCAGACGGCACATCTACCAAAAACAGACGTAGTTTCAGATGAGAAAAAATAGCCTTGCACACGGAAACTATAACAGATCCAACATGTTAAAGAAGGTCACAGCCTACATAAACAATTAGTTGTTTTGACAAGAACTAGATTATTCAATTCCTATATGAATGGTTTTCACACATCTTTACAGTAATGTTATTTTGCAGCTGAAATTATTGACATGAACCCTTTACCTGGGTTCTCCGAGTGGTCAATCTGGGCCATGGTTATTAGATGTCTGTTTATCAACTCCTGGAAGACAAACAGCAGAACATCACATCAGACATGACGGACAAGAGTAGATATCTAGTGAAAGAACAGGTGGGTGATTGGGAAATACCTGTCGGAGTTCATCAGCCATGAAGAAGGACGGGGCGTTGGCTTTCGGCTGCATGTAAGCCACATTGGGCGCAGTGGGGGGATAGATATGATAGGTAGGAAACACCTGCAAAGAAACCAGAAAGAACAGCTTCCTATTTATCGAGAAATGAAAACCAATGTGCTCAGATGTTGTTCTTTTTGTCCAAAATTATGAGTTCCTAGCTACGCAAAGGAATGTCATGAAACAAAACTCTAAATCAAGATTTTAAAGAAGTTTAAACTGGTTAATACCTGTTATTGGCTGCAATGAGTCTGTTTTCTTTTAAATTGTGGTGATTGCATGAAAAAAGGGCAGCTTACAGACTGAAGTATGGGTCATGTGCAGTCAACACTCTTGCTTCAAACCGAGATGTTTTAAATGCAGTTGTCTTGTTTACACACACCATTTTTTAGATAGGTTATAATGTGGTGCTGCATCGTTGTAGGTTATAATGTGGTGCTGCATCGTTGTAGGTTATAATGTGGTGCTGCATCGTTGTAGGTTATAATGTGGTGCTGCATCGTTGTAGGTTATAATGTGGTGCTGCATCGTTGTATGTTATAATGTGGTGCTGCATCGTTGTATGTTTTTCATAAGTACTCTTGTGTATTCTCAGCTTTAGTCTGGCAGTATTACCCAAAATAGACAGAAGGGCACTGTGTGCAGCACATACCATCCCAGACATTGGCGCGGGGGTGTTATCTGTGTAGAAGTAGGTCGTCCCCCCTACAGTCTCTTTCTGGATCATGTGAGGGCCCTGGTCAGCTGCACTGGTGGGCACCATGTAGTTGGCAGGGTTTGGGGTGTGACTGCGCCGGCGAGGAGCAGGTGAGGTGTGCGGTGTAATTTTTGGGGAGTGAAGAGGAGACGACCCCGCAGACAGAGACATGCCTATAATTGGAGACAGGAGAGTTTGTTTTATTTCAACAGTAGCGCATGTGGAGATGTAAACAGAAGGGAATTCCCGAACCAGCAAAAGATTGGAAAACAAAACTAAGCCAAGTAGAAAGTGGAGCAAAGCAGATACAACATCTCAACGATGCTCTGAAAAAACCCTCACCTGGAGCCAGTGCAGCAGCTGTGGAGCTGCTGAGGCCAGGATGTGGGAAGAGAGGAGAGGGGAAGGCCGGGACAGAGGACTGGGCCATGGGGGCCTGAGCCATGGGGGCTTGAGCCATGGGGGCCTGAGCCATGGGGGCCTGAGCCATGGGGGCCATTCGTGGAGCTCCCTTAGGGATGAACTCACTTGCTGCTGGGTTAGGAGCCTGGTGGCAAAAGAAAATACATGCAAGAGTTATAACAAATGTGCCACTACTGTAAAAGGAAATAAAGACTAAGAAGAAAATGAAATGTATCCTAGTAAAATCCGAAGTACTTGCTCATAGAAAAGCACAATACTGAACATTAAAAACACTTTGAAATAACTTTCTTGTTTTGAAAAGGATGCTTGTGTGCTCACCTTTCTCCTTTGGGAAATGCTAAGAGCACCAAAATCACTGAACAGTGAGGATGTCGGGGAGTTCACCGGATCTGTGGAGACCAAAGAGTGTGAGAGTTTGGAAATGGCCCTTCAAACATCTGATGAATGAGTATTACAATTCTCACAGATTGCTATATCAGTCTCACCATGAGTGCTGTGGCTGAAGTTCTTGGCACCATCGTTGAGGAGACTAGGAGAGCTGCTGCTGGTAGTCATTCGCTAAAGACAACAGCATCAAGAAAACATGTGTAACAGAAGACACTCTGATGGAATGTGTGAGTGATGTTTAAACTAGTTTGTAAAAAAAATAACTACATGCAAAACATCTCAATAACTAGTGCATAGGTTTATCCGAGGACTTAAACCAAACTAACATAAGTTTTCAAAGCAGTTTTTTCACACTGACAACACAATGTACAGAACCCTCTCATACCTGCATCATTGAGTATTTAGTCTCTGCTGGGCTCCCAAACCCATTGACCCCGATAAAGCTGCTGCTGAAGTAAGAGTTGGTGAGATTGGCATCGTTCAGAGACGCACCCTCCATCCCTGGGACTGTGGATGACAGAAACCAAAGTTTAGCAAATAGTAACTGTAGCAAGATAGTTTAAACAGAATTGAAGGTTAAGCATGTGTGTTAATGTCAGCACTATTAAGTGTTTGCTAAGCCACAATCACAGAGCTGATTTAAAATAAAATGTAAACATTTCTACAACTGCAGAGTGAGACACTACTACAATATCCACTTAGTATCATTTAATAACAAACTTTTTGCAACACGTACTGGTTTCAATGGCTCCGGGTTTAATGGGACGTAGTGAGCGTTTGGTGTTGCATGTGCATTTGAGTTACTTGCGGTTTGTTTACGTTGGGAAACAACGCTAAACCCCGTGAAGAGCTAACGTGGCTAGGCTAATGTTACCAAACATTAAACTTCAGTTACATCCCAACATCAACACTATAGTTCACAATCACATCATCCAAGTGAAACAGAATAACGGGACTAGTACTAACACCGGAGACGCCTATCTCAATACACAACCAAACGCATTCAAGTTGAATATAGCGTTCATTTCAACGCTAGTTGAGCTAATGCTAAGCTACGGTAGCTGTAGTGTCGCGGGTTTCTGCCCACTCACAGCTGTCACACACAAACACCAGGCCTCCTCCGTGAGAACAGCATGGCTAATGTTACACCTGGTTACAAAACATAAAAACCACCTGAAGACAGAGCTAACGTTATCCATAAGGAAGCCTTAGTGTAAAACATGTGCCAGCTACACACTGAAGGCTTTGGATAATGTTTTGCGGGCAAAGGTAACCCACGTTGTTTTGGGGTGAAGAGGCCTCACTGAATCCCCGGGCTAGATTTTAACAAAGCCCAACAAGGCCCAAAAGTAAAGTCGCAGCCAGTCGCCCCGTGTGAGGCCAGTTTACTCACTGGTTAAAAGCTGCCCCTCCAGAGACGTGCCTGCAGGCCCCATTGTTTCGCTTTTCTTGGACACACCGGTCCCCCCAGGGCAGGCAGCTGCGGGTCCGCCGAGGGGAAACCCCGTCCCGCCGGCCATGGACAGCGGGACGGGGCTCCCGCCGCCGTGCATAGGCAGGCTTCCCATGGACGGCTCATCGTGCAGGAACTGACACTCTTCTCCATAAAAGCAGGTTTTGTCTTTTGCGTAATATCGGCAAAACTTCACCTTGACATTGGGTATCCCGGCAACCCCTAGCGGAGCAGCTGAAGCTGGGAGTCCACTGTTCATGGCACCGCTGCTGCCGGAAGACTCGCACACATAGAGACGCAGAGAGCTAGCCACTTAGCCTGCTAGCCTGCACACAGTTCCCCCCTTAAAGGAGCGGATTAATGTCACTGGAGCTGGTGAAGAACGTTAAAACGCTGCAGTACTCACATTATAAGGCTAAGATGCTTTTTGGTTTGAGAAATTATCTCTGCATGCGTCAAATCCTGGTCGTCGTTGTTGTCGCTATCCATGCAGCTGCCTTCTTTGCAAAGTAGCCTGTTGTTGTTTTTTCTCGCAGACAGGCTAGGGACCAGCTAGCATTGCTTTGCATTGTGGGTAGAGCGTTTGGCAGAGTTTACATGCTGAAAATGAACGTCGCATATTGAACTTGCAGCACTGATATTGTGAATGCAAAAGAATAACGTCGCTAAATGATCCATGTTTGCAGAATAAAAAAATGCTATACAGTCTATGCGTTCACCTGTCAGATGTTAAATTGTTGCAACAAAGCTTATTATAAATACTAAATGTACATACACTTACTGTGCAGCCACGTACTGTATAATATGTACAGAAAGCAATGCATGGGTAAGTAAGCAGTCTTTATTTAAACATTGAAAAACAATTCATTAAATATGTGAGAGGCAAATGTATATGGCATTTTCATTTGAATTAATATATAAACAGCATATTGTACTCAAAATGATAATTACAGTAACCCTATGTATATTTTCTTTAACTAAGAATTTAAATACGACTCTATAACGACTTCAATGCACATTATTGTATTTTTTATTGGCTCCCATAATGGCATAACATCCCTTGCAAGATATGAAATTGTTCCTGTCTCATTATTTATGATTATCCTTCGGTGTTTGTTATTTAATAACTGTTTGCATGCTATATATTGGTGCCAGGCGTGGCGGACAACGTCATCGCTTCGAGTTAACTTCCTCTATTTAAAAGGTACACGCGCACATCATAGCATCAAAGCCTCGCGTGTGACCCGGGAGTATGAGACAGTGACAGAGAGAGAGAGCATCAAAGCGGAGGCACACCAACATGATTGCTGGTGAGTCAGAAAATACTGTTATTGTGAGGGTTGCTGAGTGAATAAAAAAGTCCAGGATTTAATTAACGATGCTTATAAATAATTTAAATGTTGCTGTTTAGCCAAATGTAGTCAGAAATAATTTTTAGTTTTTTTAGTATATTGCATTTTTGTATTTAAACTATGTAAAATTGTTTTTTACCTTAAAAAACGAAATGTTTACTCGTGAAATATAATTTAATGTCGACATTCATCTGTAGTTTAACATTCCAGTAAGAGGAACCTTTTAGATCGTGCTCCCTTCATGAGAGACGGACGGACATATCATTCATCATTCAAAGCTACATGCAAAATGCAATCATTAACAGTTAAGCACTTACATCATTGTATCCCTGTAATAACCAACTAAAACTCCAAGTAATCAGGTTTTAAATGATGTTTACAAATGTGTGTTTAAAAAGATATATAGTATTCTGTCCTTTATTAGCACTTTGAATAATAACAGTAAGTACAGGTAATAATAAGCACATTAATACAAAATAAAAAAGATGCAATTAAGAACATACAAAGACTTTACAAAACTTAAAACTGCATATAGGGATTGATTCATGTAAACGCCTGTATATAAAAGGGACATAAACAATTTCACTCAATCAATAAACCACTGGAAGTACTTAAAATAATCAATGTTGTTTTTCGTTTCTTTGATTGCATTTATCTTGTATATTCATTTAAAATGGCCCCAAGCTATTTAGTGAGCATACAAATAGATTTACATTTTTATTTTTGACCAGGTATCGTTGTGCTGTGTGCTGTCAGGCTGCTCTGCTCTGATGGTGTCGCAGCGCAGAATCAGGCCTGCGTGCCAAATCATGAGGTAAGAGCAGCAAAGTCCTATCTGTGTTTCAACTGAGCAATTCAGTTAAATATATGTACTTGTTTTTCTGGCTTACTATATATTTCTGAAGCGTTAAGGCAAACAGTTATTCCTTGGTTAATGTGAATTATGTACAGGGACTGAGGGTTGGACATATGTTGAATTTACATAACAGGTTTTACAGATCATTATGTCATGTAATGTTTATTTACGTCAGTCCACCACATTAATTGCTGCTAGAATCTCATTGCCTATTGTCTTCCAAACATAAGGCCTAGCAGAAGGAACAAAGATGTGTTGATTGTCTCTTAGATGTGGACTCACTTTGAAACCGAAAAAAAACAAACTGCAGAGCAACAAGAGGTTGTGAAACATCGGAGAGGGAAATGGCAAAACTTGACTCAAATTAAAAGTTGTATTTCTTCTTATCAGTTAGACATCTGTCAGTTTATGTGTCATTTCTATAAAACCTTCTTAAGAAACACAACCAAGACAAGGGGTTGAAGTCACAGAAGAGGCATCATTCTAAGACCTCTGAACCTATTAATGTGTAATGCCTTAAGGCACATGTGTCAAACTCAAGGCCCGGCGGCCAAATCAGGCCCGTGGTGGATTTAATTTCGGCCCGCAGGATAATTTCTAATTACTATTAGATCTGGCCCGCCGGTATATTGCACGCACACCTTCACTCAATCCTGAGGGTCTCCTCCGCTCAGAGCCTGAGCCCAAACATTGATGAACTTGCACCCAAGATGAGATGCCAAGTATCTGGCTTGAACTAGCATCACAGAGCAGCACACTGAGTTTCAATGGATGTTTCCTTCTGCACTTTGTTTCTTGAGACAACAGGGCATGTTTGTTTTTTTCTTTGAAGGAAATAGTTTTTTTGAAGCTGTTGTTGGCCTGTGGAGAAATGTAATCATAAGAAATGACTCCGGAAAAGCTGCAGAGAGCCATGAGAAATGAATGCAACTGATTATTTAATGTTGTTTTTATAGGCAATAAGTTCATTTCAATAAGTTCTGCAATAAACATTGAACCAGTACCCATTTTTTTATTTTGGCCCTCTGTGTATTTGAGTTTGACACCCCTGCCTTAAGGGGACCGTTCAAAAATCATATTTGTTCTTCTTACCTGTAGTGCTTTTTATCAATCTATATTGTTTTAGTGTGAGTTGCTGAGTGAGGTAGAAAGTTGCTGTAGAGATGTCTGCCTTCTCTCAAATATACACAGAAGTTTGTAAAGCTGAGTTGAAAAACTGATCTATCCACAGACCTTTATGTGAACGACTGTTTGAGATGTTAACATTAATGTGAACTGTCCCTTTGAAATGACAGGGGTAAAGTCAGCTTTTCTTGTAAATGTGTTTTTCACGCCTAGACAAAATCTTGATCTTGCTACCACACCGAAAGCTACTTAACGCAGGGTGATTGAATGTCAACCCTTGTCTTTTAGGAGGAGTGTTTTGTACCTGCGGACCATCTGAATGCGTCTGGTTCAGTCAGCGTTGAGGTGTGTGTCGGTAAGAAACTCATCATCTCCCTGCAGCACTTCTCCGAACACCCTGTTTGCAGCTGGATCCGAGGAGCAGACACAGTAATCACAGTGTAAGTGAATTATTAACTGTTCTCACTTTTAATATGTATTTTTATATATTGAATGTTTTATTTAAACCTCATCAGAAATGGGAGTGAGTCCCTGGTCCTACCCACGCTTTCTGAGGCTGATTCAGGGGAGTACACGCTGAGATGTGAAATCAGCGACGGGGCCAGTTCCTCAATGAATGTGTCTCTGAAAGTAGCCATGAGTGAGTTCCAGCTCTCGCATATCTCCTCACATCTCTGCTATGCTAAGTCAGACTGCAAACAAACACTTATTGAAAACTGATTAAAATATTTGTTTTTATAGAACGTCCCTCAAAACCAAAGCTGACAATTGACAAAGATTATATCAAATACAAATCCCCTTCTTTGACTTGCATCTCTGAGGACGCTGAGCCCACTCTCAACTGGACTGGGTAAGATGTTAGCCATTACGTTTGTGTTCATGATTCAGAGTATATCAGACTAGTTGGATTTTCTAAATGTTGATCCTCCTTTTGAACAGAAACCCAGATCGGGCAGTTGTTTCTGCAAACAGTGGACGTGCACAAAGCCGTATATCCACCAGTGGATATTCTGATAGAGGAGTGATGTGCTGTGCCACTAACGCGAGAGGACAAGAATGCTCCCAACTGTATGACTATGGTAATTCAATATCTCAACAAATGAATTCAATACATCATACATCAATGATCAAAGACGTACATTTAGCACGTTTTCAATTTTAACCACCTGAAAAGCAGTTCATGTGCTAGCAAATAGTAATTGGAGTAAATCAAATCTGTGTTTCAGACCTGGACAGTAACTTTATGAAAGATGATGATGTTTCTAATGTGACTGTGAGCCCTGGTGAGCCGTTACTCCTTCGCTGTCGAGCGAAACACACGTCTATGACGATTGAACTCGGGTGGGAAAAGGGCAGAAAAAAATTGGACATCGGAACATATGGATGCTCGTCTAAAGTCAAGAGAGAGGTATTTAGACCAATTTTAATTCACCGTAGTAAAGCATAAATCCCAAACTATTGCATTATCCAAATAATATGATATATGTTTTTATCCCAGATCTGCATTAAATCTGACACACATGAAGGAAGTTGGATGAACTACCTGTTTATCGAATCAGCGAGCAGTGACCACAGTGGCACTTATACCTGCAGCACACCAAAGAACAAGAAAACAAAGTCTGTCAACATTCAGGTCCAAGGTTAGTTTCACCGGATTGAACTTTCTCATTTAAGCTGTTGACATGTTTGTACTAGTTGTACACGTACTGATTTGGCTCCTGTGTTGCCTCAGCTGAGGGTTTCCTCTCCGTCCAGCTGAATGAAAGCAAGATCCTCCCCGCTCACGACGCCTCCGGATCCTGTCTTCTGCAGGCCAGTGTTTCCTACCACCCTGTGCTGGGGAAGTGCTCCTGGGAGACTCCTGATAAAGCAGAGATTGAATGCAAAAAGAACACTTGGGTTACAAAACACAGGTAGCTGCATGAAGCTGACTCCTGAATCAATGCTCACGTACATTTTAAGTGCTGAAAATACTGTATAATCCCAGGATTTGTATTATTCATGACTTTTGGATGGTTTCATATTTATTTTCTCAGGACTGTGATGCTATGTGTCACACTCAAATCCGGAGATTATAAATTACACGTGGAAGCTGGAGGACTAAAAGAAACAAAAACCATATCAGTGTGTGTTGCAGGTAAGAGAGTGTGTCTAATTTGTATTAACTCCTGCACATTATATCTGTAAACGTTCAAAGGAGATTGATTATTGATTTTGTTACAGACCCACCAAAGTTCAGATTCATAGACATCAATAACACCTTCGCTTTTGAGACTGTGGCTCTTGTGCCGGCAAATTATACCTGGAAGTCCTGTGTTTTGTCGAATGACAGGTAATGCTCTCTGTCAGATTGTCACGTTATGGCCTCTGTTGTACACCCAGATTTCCTCAACTCCCTGCTCTCTGTCTCAAAGCAGCTGTGAAACTGAGTTTAACTGGAATGATATCCCAGGAGCGTCTCACACAGACTCTGACGTCTCCTGTCAGAAGACCATCAGGAGCTCTCTGAGCAGAAGTCTAGTGACAGGAAACAATTTATGGTTCTGCCTGACAAACTCACTCGGCTCCTGGTGCGAACACCGCTACATAGTAGATGTATACCCCCATACACAAATGTCCTCCGGAGGTAGGGAGATTCATTTTCACATTTCACAACATAAAATGAAAGTGTTGTTTTCTCATGATACTTTCCTCTTTCTCGGTTTTAGCTGCTCCAAATCAACAAAACAGCAAAAGCTTGCTGCTGCTGAAAGTTGGCAGTTTGTTTCTGGTCATGGCTTTGGCAGTAGTTAGCGTGGTGCTAATTTACTTTGTCAAAAAGAAGGTACGTTTTTGCACACTGACACACACAAAACACACGCTCACAAAAAGACATGACACTTACTACTTTGTGTTTCCAACAGAAACCTAAGTACCAGCCTCAGCTTCAGATGATCCAGATGGTTGGACCCAATGACAATGATTACATCTACATTAACTTCAAGGACTTTGGTTACGACAAGCAATGGGAGTTCCCCAGGGAGAACCTGGAACTGGGTATGAACTACACCCCCAAACACGATACCAGACTTCAGAGGTGGACGAACTAAACACATCCTTTACATGAGTAAAAGCACTGATACAATCATGTAAAAAATCCCTTACAGTAAAAGCCTTGCGTTTAAAAGCTACGCCTCCATTGGACACATCACGATGTAACAATCGCGCTTCTATTGGCTAGCGCTCGGACACATTGCACATGATAGGCTAAGGGGCGGGACATCTCTAAGCAGTTTACAAATCACAACAGAGCCATCCAGCTAACCAATCAGAGCAGACGGGGCTCTGGTTTCAGACAGAGGGTGAAAAGAGGTGCTGCTGCACAGGCAGTATGAAAAAAAAACTCCCCTAAAATCTCACCTGCCTGTTTGGATGTGTGCTGAGTGTCTTTGTGTCCTTGTGTCCTCCGCAGGTCCAGAACTGGGCTCTGGGGCTTTTGGCACGGTGGTCCAAGCTACGGCTTACGGCATCAACAAGGCTGGAGTCTCGCAGCAGGTGGCCGTCAAGATGCTTAAAGGTCAGCGTTTCATTTATTTATTCCGTGGAGGAAATGCAAACATGCTATGAAGGTCATTTCAGCAGCTGTTGTGATATTTGACGCTGCAGAGAAACACCAGACTGTGGAGAAAGAGGCCCTGATGTCCGAGCTGAAGATGCTGACTCACATCGGTCACCACGCAAACATTGTTAACCTGTTGGGGGCATGCACAGACTCAGGTACAGTTGGTGGTAATTGTAAGCACACAGGAACAAGAAATGTGTACATGCATCACTAATATTCTTTCCCCAAATGTTGTATTTGTTTCCCTCATGCAGGACCCACGTACCTGATTTTCCAGTACTGCTGTTATGGAGATCTTCTGAACTACCTTAAGACAAACAGAGAGCTCTACCACAAGTCTGTCACCGACGCTTTCACCAAGGACCGATTCAGCAGCTTTACCACAACCTGCAGCCCAACAAAAGCTCTAGGTGGGGAAACACGGGGTAGGAGGAGAAATATTGGGAATCATTTGGCGAAAAGGGCAACAAAGGGTAGATCAATCATAACGACAAGACTCTATATAAGTGAAGGCATATCTAGAAATGGACTTAAGTTCACCTTTGTGTTTTTTTCAGTGAGGGAGACAAAGCAGTGGATAATTACGTGCCCATGCACCGCTCTACCACCGGAGGGCAGGAGGACATCGCCCTGCTCCCCATCAACCTCAACGACAGCATTGAAGGTGATAAAGTACCTCCTGCCTGTCAGATCACTTTCAGTTTTTTCGTGCACAGAGTAGCAGATCCTTCGGAGTTTTTGACTGACTCTTACTGATGATGCCGGTTTCTCTGCAGAACCTTTGATTTACGAAGAACCGGACGATCTGACGGACGACGCGCAGACCCTGACCTTCGACGACCTGCTCAGCTTCGCCTTCCAGGTGGCCAAAGGCATGGAGTTCCTCTCCTCCAAGAATGTAAGAGACAAAAGGCCACACTGTTAAAACGTCCCACATTTACACCATGGGCAGCCCCACATCTTTGATTATTGATAAATGTGTATTTGTTCTATCAAGACAATCAACTGTTGTAACTTATTTGTAGTATGTATTGTATTTGTATGGGTTAATTAGGCAGACAAAACAAGCTGTTTGATGAATTTAGGAAATAGGTTTGGGCATTTTTCAGTAATATATTAATTTTCTTAACTAAACAATTGATTAATCCAGAAAGAAAAGCTGCATATAGTTTAAACTAGACTCATTTGTAAAGAGAAAGACTTCATTTTATCAACATATATGTGTTCTCACACTGTAGATATAATTGTATCTTTCTTTATTAATGATTCCTAGCCTATTGTATCTCCAACTGCAGGTCCGTTTGAGCCACATTTGTATGGGTATTATAAAAGACCATTGTTTTCAACCTACAAAACTAGCATTTTAGTCAAGAAACTAGACATATTTCGATCTCTCTGTCTGTACACACAAACGGAAACATTGACATTAAAGTTGACTTTGAAGATTCAAGAAGAATACAAAATGTGTAATACTGCACACTCAGGCTTGGTGTTTGTGGGTTATGTGTTTGACTCCTGATTGGTCCGTCTGTCTGCAGTGCATCCATCGAGACCTGGCAGCTCGTAACGTGTTGTGACGAAGGGCAGAATGGCGAAGATCGGGCGACTTCGGACTGGCTCGGGACATCGACAACGACTCCAACTACGTCGTGAGAGGAAATGTACGTCAGACATTTACATTAAGATCATTCATTGGTTGTATTTGGTTTATCCTTTCACACATTTAATGGGTGACATGGCTTTGCAGGTGCGTTGCCAGTGAAGTGGATGGCACCCAGAGAGGCACCTTCCAGGGCATCTACACCATGAAGAGTGCCGTCTGGGCCTATGGCATTCTGCTCTGGGAGATCTTCTCACTTGGTAATCCTCTACCAGCTTTTTACATGAGGTGCCCATTGAAAAGACAAGCACATAATCAACTCTGTCTGTGTGACTCTCAGGCGTTACTCCGTACCCGGGCATGAAGGTGGACCACACGTTCTATTCACTGATCGAGAGAGGATTTAAGATGGAGTGTCCTTACTACGCCAACGAGTCTGTGTGAGTGTCTCCTGACGCATGCAACCCTTGTATTTCTCACACAGTATTTCAATAGATTTAGGACACAGAATAACCTCTAGACACTATGATGAAGTTCACATTTTTTCATCATATTAATCACAATGAAGAGTAGATGTAAAAACTGTATATAAATATGCATGCCTATAGATTTTTAAATGCGTGGCCACGTCTGCAAGCAGTGATGGAAAGTTACTCAGTACTAATGTGATGTACTCGAGTACATTTTTAAGGCTTGTTTCCGTTTCCGTTTCCGTTTCCTTCTTTCCCAGATGTATTAGGAGATGTTGTCCTTCTTACTTCACTGCAGTTATTTAGGAACTTACTTCATTTAGAACAATTAAAATATTCAGCTTGTAATAAAATATTTGACATTGTTATGATGGATTGTTTCAACTGTTGTCAAAACCAAACAGTAGTTCATGTACCTGTTGACTTCTAGTTATCATCACTGAGAATCCAGTTACAATATATTAAATCTGCTTTCTCCATGACTTACTTCTGCAGGTACGGGATGATGTGTAAAGTGTTGGGCTCTGGATCCCTGCGACCGTCCATCTTTCTCCAAACTGGTGTCCTTCATGTGTGATCAGCTGACAGACAGAGAGGAGCAGGTATGTCAACATAATAGGGAGGCTGTGGCTCAGTGGGATAGTGCACTGAACTTAGTGCGCTGAACCTTGAATCAGGGGATAGCAAGTTTGAGTCCCACAGCAGTCAGCATGTCGTTGTGTCCCTGCGCAAGACACTTCACCCCAAATTGCTGTGGGGATTGCCCACAATACTGATGTTATGTAAGATCGCTTGGATAAAAGCGTCTAACAAGTGACATGTGATGTAATAATATGGGAAGAAAGGAAGAAGACTTTAATCATTTCAGCTCCACAGAAATATTAATATAGTTTTCTTTCTCTTTCCTCTTTCAGCTGTACCATAACATGCCCGACCAGGAATCCAGCATCTACCAGAACGCAGCACCATTTTGGACATTTCCGCTCTTGACGCAACAAAAACGAGGAACAAGGCGGCCAACGATTTACGTCGAACCCACGCGACTGAATGAGAGCAAGAGCAGAAGTGTCCTGAAACTGTGGCTTGCTGAGGAGAACCTGAAGACATCGGATGCAGAGTGATAACCTTCACACCGAATGAATGCATTTTGACCAAACCATGCCTTAAAATATTCATTTTTTTATATCTGGTCTCATGTATCTCAAGATAACCGTAGATCCTGCTTTAGATCCCTTTATACAAGTTCAAGATTTTAGCAAAGTGGCCTGAAATATATAAAAACAGTGTTTTCATTTTTATATTTATCAATTGTGTTAAAACCGTTTCATGGATACAGATTCTCAGGACTATAGACATGTGAAGAGAGAGTTGTTACTTTTCACGCCTGCATACTGTAGCAACTGTTTGGTTTTACATTTTATCAGTATAACATGTATTTGTATGCTCTGGTAAAAATGTTATTGTATTTTTGTATACTATGTGAGCAGCTATTACTTAAACCAGTTTATGTGCACTTATATATTGTTATCAAAACAAGCTTTTTCCTACTGTGAAAGTGGATTTCTTATGTGCCTTTGGTTTTTTAAGCATTATACCTGCAATAAAATGCACATTTAACAATAAAAGGTTAACAACAATGAGTGTGCATGTTTCTGATGTGTCAAAAGTGATGTTCATAGTCTACAATCAATCAATCAATCAATCAATCAATGTTTATTTATATAGCCCAATATCACAAATGTTACATTTGTCTCAGTGGACTTCACAGTTTGTACAGAATATCAGTATGACAATACGACACCCTCTGTCCTTAGATCCTCTGTCCTTAGACCCTCTGTCCTTAGACCCTCTGTCCTTAGACCCTTAGACCCTCTGTCCTTAGACCCTCACATCGTACAAGGAAACACTTCCAGAGAAAACCCACAGTTTAAAGGGGAACATGGGAGAAACCTCAGGGAGCGCAACAGAGGAGGGATCCCTCTCCCAGGATGGACAGACGTGCAATAGATGCCGTGTGAAAATCGAAGAGATAATACATTTACAGCGTAGGTAGACCAAATGTTTGGAAATGCATGTGTCTATAATAATAAGATGAATCCACGAGGATGTCAACAATCCTGTGGGAGCCATCAGGGAAGTAGTGTGATGAAAGTCAGGCAGGACCACAGTGACAGGTTCAGCCACGACTCGAAGTCCAGGACTCAAATCAGGACTCAGATCAGGACTCAGGATCCAGGACACAGGACCGCAGCAACAGGATCAGCCACGACTCAGGATCCCGGCGTAGATATAGACACCAAAAATAAATTTGGGGCACACCCTGATAATAAAGAGTTACAATAATCCAGCCTTGAAGTAACAATGCATGGACTAGTTTCTCTGCATCGTTTTGAGGCAAGATATGCCTACAATAACACTTTGGTTCAACATATCTGGTAAAAACTCCCCAATTGTTGTGATACATGTTGCAATTACCTTGAAGTTGTACATTGTACATGCCAGCGGTGCAGGACTCAAACCCCTGTGGTCAGGGCCGTTTCTAGCTTTTTGGGGGCCCTAGTTTTGACCGTTTTTTAACTACAATGGGGGGGATTCCGAAGCCTTTAAGATGATCTGTGGAGATGCATCAATCTGTTACACTTAATAGGAAAACAGGCTAATTTCACGAAAACCAAGCAATTGAAAATTACAAAAAATGATATTAAAAAGGTAAACAATAAGGCTCCTCTATGTCAATAAATGCAAGAGATAAATGCAACTTTGAATTCTCTGCTCCCATCATAATCTTGGCGATCTTGTTAAAATTGTGAATGCAGAATTAGAAATACTATGTAACTGGTTTTGCAGTTAATAAATGATCCCTTAATGTGGCCAAAACAAATGACATGTTATTCAATACAAAGTCTGAGAGTAGAAATGACTGCATTATACGGATTTGCAATACCGAGATAGAAAAAGTTGGTGCATGTACATTTTTAGGACTGCTTGTTGACGAAAAACTCAATTGGAAGCACCATAGAAATTATGTACAGACTAAACTGTCAAAAACAATATGTATTTTGTATCATACTAAGAACATTCTTGAAAAAAAGATACTCTTTATAACAGTCTATTTCTCCCTTACCTTTACTACTGCTCCAAAATATGGGGAAACTACATAATAATAACATCCCAAAAAAAAGTATTACGAATAGTCTGTGGTGTTGGTAAATATGAACACACAACTCCCATATTTAAAAAAACTCAATCTATTCAAATGTGTTGACATAGTACAGCTTAAAACAGTACTGATTATGCACAACATTTTCCATAACAAAATGCCTAATAACATTCAAAAGCAGTTCCAAACCACAGCGTGAACATATGAATGTAAAAAAAGTCTTCACAATGTTTATATGCAATTATGCATACATTATTATTATTCATTTGCCAAGTACATGTGTACATATGTATATATTTATATATAGTATTTTCATTTCCAAAAAAAAGATAGTTGAAACTGCTATTGACATGTGCAGAAAATGACCCTATATCTAGTTTTCGTATATATATATATATATATATGCATTTATTGTTTTCCTGCCCTAACTTTTATTTATGCCCACCTTCACACGTTTTTAGGGGGCACAAAACAGTCCTAGACATTAAATTACTTATGATATATTAGGAAGAAAGGACACTTATTTACCGCTGTTGAATAAAGTTGCATCCAAGTTGCATAGTTGCAAATGTACTTCTGTTTTCCCAATAGGCCTTGAACAGTATCAATACCTGTACCTGTTTCCACTTGTAAATTGAATCCATTTCCTTCATATGAAGTCAAGCATTTGTTTGTTTTTAATTATATAGGCATGGATGAGAAATAGAGAACTGAGGAGAAAGTAAACCAATAGCAGAAAAGACAATAAATAGCCCAACCTAGAAAAAAACCATTTGGACATGTGTGTGAGTTTCTTTCTTTACACACTAGGAGACGCCAGAGATCAGTACACCTCTTAAAGAAGCATCTCAAATGTGCATCTATGTTTGGCAGTTACCTTTAAGCTATCCAGCAAACTCCTCTTTCCAACACCAAATGATTGGCTGCAGATCTGACAAAGAACATATTAACCACAGCAGGGAGCTTCTCTGTGTGTCAGTCCAACAGTGCATTAACCCCTTGTTACAAACGCTTGTCCGAAGGTCATTTAAACACTGTCCAACTACTGGAGAGAGTCCCTGCATGAACATGGACATCGCAACAGTAAATGCTCTCCCTTATGAGGATTTTGTGGATATTCTGGGCAATGTGGTGGAGAAGTGTCCCATAATAACAGCTGCTGTGTGGTCGGGGCATCCCTTCCTGAGCCTGGCTGCTTTGGAGGCTGCAATCAGTGAATTCATCGATGCTCTCCCAGAATCAGGTGAGACACAGACGTAAACAAATATGTGACTTTTTTTACATGTTAAGTTTGTGTCGCCGCTTTTGAGGTTGTTTGCCCTTAAATGTGTTTAACTCTTCGTGCAATGACACTGATACATAGTGTGTGAATGTTGTTTTAATTATATTTACTCGAGCCTGTGGCCTACTTCAGTACAATTTTAAGTTACTCCTCACAATACAAATGTTATCCTTCCTCATACGTATACTCAACAGTTTTGGGAGCTGATATTGTACTTTTTACTGTATTATATTTACCTGACGGGTTTCCTTTATAGATTCAGATTATAGTTAATACAAAATATGAATCAACCACTAAATTAGCTATGATATGATATACTGTATTAGGTTAAGATATCCAGCAGTAGAGAGTAATCAACTTTACAGCTGATGAACAATAATCTGGTAAATGATGTGATTCTGAAATGGGCCATAATAAATAATAAGTAGGCTATATATTTATAGGTATGCTATTATGAAGCCCAAACTTTTTTTACTTTTACTTCTGCAAGATTGTGAACGCAGGACTTGTAACAGAGAATTTTAAGAATGTAGTTTTGCTTTCCTTAAGTAAATTATCAGAGTACCTCCACCTGTGTGTCCAGGTAAAGAGGGGATCCTCAGGTGTCACCCAGATCTCGCGGGAAGAGACCTCCAGAGCGGCTCGTTGACCCGGGAGTCCCACGAGGAGCAGGCAGGGTCCGGGATGGGTGCTCTGAACTCGGGGGAAGCCTCGCGCATGGCCCGGCTCAACCAGGAGTACAAGGAGCGCTTCGGGTTCCCGTTTGTGATCTGCGCCCGGATGCACGACAAGGAGAACATTTTACGACAGTTGTCCGCGCGGTGCCAGAACGAGCGAGCGGTGGAGAGGGCGCGCGGCATCGAGGAGGTGAAGAAGATATGTCACCTTCGTCTGCAAAGCCTCGTGCTCACTGACAACAAGTTATGAACTTTTACTGGAGTTTATATTGGATTAGTGCCAGTGTGACCCGGATGTAAAGACTGCCATTGTTCCCACGCCTGATAGGCTTTGTGATAACTTTATTCCAAATGTGTGTTAATCATACTGTACAATGAATTCTTTAAACAATAACATATATGCATCGTTGATTCTAATTTATCAATTTACATTATATAACCTATATACAAGTGGATAATATGGCAAATACAGTCATATTACGCATATATACATTCATAAACTCAATGTATAAACTCACATGTTTGAGGTGTAACATTTGATTCGACCATTTTACAGTTTGTGCATGCTGAATCCATGCCTGTTGAAGGGGAAATAAATGTAGTCCTTGCATGTGGTTGTCTCAGCATGCACCGTGGTTCCCAAAACTGAAAGGAATGTCCATTGATAGACCAAAAGGAGGTGAAGTTAAGGGGTCCGGAAAAATTGGCACTTAATTGAAATGACTTTACTCGAATTGAGACTTTAAGGCTTCACTCTCAATTATGAATATAGTATTCCTAAAAATATAAAAACCTCTCAAATTCTTGTTAGGTTTACATTGAAACACACTCAGATGTCCCAGTAGGTTAAGTCTTTTAGGCTTTACTCTCATTTGGGATTCTTATATTCCTAAAATCAAATTGCATACCTAAAAATCTGTATTTGAAGACTTCCATTGAAACAAACTGAAACGTCCCTGAGGTATGAGTTAGAGTCTATGCAGTCTCTCTGGCTCCAGCTGCGGGGATGGAGTGACCGTGCAGCGGGGAAACAGGAGGGGAGGTGGGGGGAGGTCCGGTGGTGGAGGTGAGCCCCCCGGTGGAGGAGGTGAGCCCCCCGGTGGAGGAGGTGAGCCCCCCGGTGGAGGAGGTGAGCCCCCCCGCGGTGTCCCCCTGGTCCCCGGAGGTGATGGAGGAGTCCTGGTCCGGGTCGGTCCCCCTCCCCCTCCTGCGGTCCTCCTCTTTCTTCCACTTCATGCGCCGGTTCTGGAACCAGATCTTGATGTGTCTCTCCGTGAGGCTGAGGTTCAGCGCCAGCTCCACGCGCCGCGGCCTCGAGATGTACCTGTTGAACAGGAACTCCTTCTCGAGCTCCAGCAGCTGGGCGCGCGTGTAGGCAGTCCTCGTGCGTTTGTTTTCCTCGGATTCCGCCATCACGTATGGTCCTGGAGACAAATGGAGATTAGTGTCATTACATTACATTACATTGATTGAGTGTCCTTATATGATAACACTTTTGGAATCAGCTAATAGGCCTATATATGTAGGGTCCCATTTCCTTAAATAAGTGTAATTAAACATTACAAAAAACATAATTCACACACAGATAATGCACAATAGGGTATTCAAGAATTACAAATAGTTTGGGCTTTAAAATAATAACTTTTTAAAACTTTGTATTTTTCTCTGTTGCATGACAGGGGAGAATATTTAATTCGTTTCTCAGAGGCACTTAATTATAACTTGTTTGGAGTAGATCTCAATTAATGTCATTGTAATAGTCATATGTCATTATATCTTACATGTGCATAAGTTAACATCATCTCTAACAGGCAAAGAAAACCAAGTGTACAATTGTCTTCCGATTGCCTTTAAATACAAATGTATTCACTTGTAAAGTTACAAGGCATTCACAATTACCAGACATAATAGTAATTTCTTAATCCGAGTTGAAATTTGGGAACAACAGGTGATTTGTGGACACGCTAAAGCTGTTCACATAAGTATTGCTTTTAAATCACAACATTTAATAAATATTTCCAAACGATGTGGTAAATTATTGGTATTGTATTGGTATAAATAAAAACATGTGTAAAAAAAATAAGATTCAGTTTAGCTTTAATTTAGCAGTTAGTCGTGTTAGTCCTGTTGCTTAATAATGCAGAATTGGATTTGATTGGATTTTTTTGCCAGTCCGAACCTACAATGAATAGTGCATATTAAACAATTACAAATATCATTTATGTCCTTCAAATGTCTTTTTGTGACGATTAAAATGTAAAGTTAAATTTAGAATATGAACAGTGTTTAAGTTTAAGCAATAAACTATGGGTAACTTTAATTGAGCATTTTTTGGGAATATAAACCATTGCGCGTATAAATGCCGATTTGTAGAGGCTAAAATGATAGCTTAAATCCTTTACTTTAATAAGCCTTCCGGTTATTTATAAAAAGTCAGCCTTAAGAATTCCTTCAGGTTCATCTTGTCTTTTAAAAACGTGCAGGGATTAATTTACACATGTTCGTTACTCTACAAATTACAATCACAACAACTGTGCGTAAAATAAACCAAAAATACGCAACGTCACAGAGAAGTCTGTATAGGGACTATGAATAAATGACCAAATGAATAGCCTACATTTGTATTTAAAATGTCCATTGATATGACAAAAGACAGAGAACTTTATAGATAAATATATATATTTTAACTGAAGAGACAGGGAGGAACAGTAGATACATTATCCTCACGTTTCTCTGGAGAAAACAGGCTTATCAGAAAACAAACTTGTAGTAGGCTATACGTTTTATAATAAGGGTTATGGTCTAATCCAAAAGCATCACAGTGAAAGAGAAAAACATGATTTAATAAATGATAATTTAATTTAAACTTTTAAAACTTTACTCAAGCCTAACAAGGGACAGGATGGATCAAACCCGATGTTGGTAGATTTAGGTGTTTTAACGGCCTATTATACTCTATAGTAGCCTATACAGCCTATTGATAAGATTTGTGAATTTGTTTTGTAAAGACAAAACCCCACATTTATGTTACGATAAGACCTGATAAAAGCAAGCGCTGACGTTCCGGGCCTTTTACACTTTGACTGACAAGGTAAACTGAAACACCCAGGAGCATATTGTTGGGAGCATGATGTCACTGCGGGCCTGAGAAACACCAACTGAGTGCTATGACTACAGAGGGATGTAAATAAGACTGTACATGCATTCTGAATTAAGCTGAGGAGAAACTGATTTCCATTATGATCATGATGAATACAAGTTAGAGTTAGCTGTCCCGTCCAGGTGTTCTCAAGGAATTATAGGGTTTAAAACCACAAAATGCATTAAATGTTTCCAGATTGTGCGGTTATTTTTGGTTTGGTATTATTTAATTTGGCATTTTAGTCGTGTGTCATCTGCTAATCAATTCCGAACTATAAAAAGACACAAGTGCATATAGGAAACAATGACAAATATTGTCTATGTCCATCAAATGTCTCTTTGTGTTGTAAGATAAACTTCAGCTACATGTTTAACTAAACTATGCAACTTTATTTGAGCATGTTTCGGGAACATAAGACTTAAAAACCGATTTGTATAAAAGCGTTACCTGCCCACTGCCCCTTCCAGGTGTGTGAGTGAGACTTGGTGCTTTTCATCCAGGGGAAAGGCAGGTGATATCTGCTCTGGTCCCCCGTGTCTCCATAGCCTGCAGCCGGCTGGAGAGGCTGCTGCTGGAGCCCCGGGTGTTGGTGGTGCAGCTGGGTCAAACCTGGGTCCTCCCGCATGGGGAGACTGTATGAGGCCGAGATGTCAGGAAGGCTGGCCGTCTCCAAGGCTCCCATGGCCGGCGGAGTGTAGACGGAGTGCCGGCTCATGTAGAGGCACGGCGGCGGGCTGTGGCTGTAGTCCTCCGCCTGAGATCTCTGGTAGGCACAGGAGTCTTTAAAAACCTGGGAAGGGTAGTAATGATCTTCCCGATTCATGGCTTCCGAGGTCCCGCACATGTACAGTACCTGCGCCTTTCTGCTCCACCTGAAAGTGGCGCAACTGCGAGGCCCGGGCGGCTCCACACAGGTGAGTCACTTTGACACCATGTGACTCTGCAGCGACCAGGCCATTGGCTTCACTGTTTGCAGACCTGGAGAGCCCGGTTTCCAGGATCTTCTGCAGCCTGTGGGATTTTCAGTAAATCAATGGCACTCTGTAAATACCTGGCACCCACCTGTGTTTGGAGACAGGTGAATCTGTAAGAAATGGTTATAGAGGTCTGGCATAAACACGCTTCTCTTGCATGACTGTCCTCAAACAATACGCCATCGACACTTTATATGGATGTCTACTGTCTGCACTGCATAAATCGATATGTATGGGCGCAAACATTGGCAGACCTGCCAGATAAGAGACCTGGATGGAGGGACAGTTGTCTTGGAAACTCTGGTGAAACGTTCCAACAACATACAGCCTTTTTGTTTCATTTGCCGACACCTTTCTGAGTTTAAGATGTACCCAATGCATCATTTAACACAATTTAGAAAGGCTGGGCCCTGCACGAAGGACCCTCAGAGTTAACAAACACAGGGTTGCACTCTCGCCATGTTTGCTAGCCATTAGCCTTTAGCAGGTGTGTGTTCGCCCCATTAAACAGCCGCTCTCCTGGTTAACCAATTAAGGTTGGAGTGAGCAACAGAACTCAATTAACCTGCACAGTGACCCCACAACCTGGCAAACTCACCTGTGCGTTTATGCAACATTTCTAGCCACATGATCAGAGTGATTTACCTAGTTTTCATGAAAATTACCCAGGCTTTTACCGTGATAGTGTGTATCAATGCTCTATTTGCACTGAGTTCTTCAAAAGCAATTATGGCACTTTCCACCGTATCTTAATGGGGCACTCAGCGATGCAATAAAGTTCAAGTAAACCAATTCTATACAAATCACCCCCTGCACTATGCCTTAATGGTGTTTATATTTGATCATTGTTCTAAAGAGGAAGGAAACAGTTAACCCGAGCTGCTCTCCACTACACTGGAGGTGGACAATGTGATTTATGAAGCATGAGGATGTTAAACGCATGTTAGTTGACTTTTTCCAGACACAGAATTTGGAGTAATGGCTTTAGCGAGGAGTAATGCAGCTTACATGTAGATATAAGACATCCATGGGTAATCATGAACACAGAGAATGGCTGTTGCCTAGTTTATAAAACGCTGTTATAAAAGCACATGGAGACACGCCATAGGGAAGATACAAACAGCATCTCTTTCAAGCTTGAGTTCATGTCCATCTGCTGTCCTGAAACCGCAATGACCCCACTCAAACACATGGACGTTTAATCGCCGCATTATTAGTATTATAGTGAAGTTACCGTTATTACAGCCTTATTAAATCACTATTAATCCACCGCTTGTTCAACAGGACACATGTAGGAGTGTCAGGAAAACACAACTTCTTTTCTCCTTTGACAAACAAAACCGTTTCTGATAGCCGGTGTCAACATGTCCAAAAAGTTTGACATGCGATAAAATGTGCTTACCCAGTGGCGACAGCAGCACGGCTTATGTAAACATTATGACCTGTGGATAATGACAGAAGAATGGTAATGACATTATAATAGAAATCAAACCTCCCCGGCTGTAGGTGAAACGCAATAACACCAAACTACGAGTCATGTGAGCGGGGAGGGAAATAAACTGTTTTGTGAAAAGTGCTGGGCTGTAACGGCCTCTTGATATTTTATTAACTCTTTTTTTGTGGAAAATATGGGGTGGAAGAACAGTAAAAACGATATGTTGCTGGCTTTATGAGTCATCAATTTAACCTCATGAACTACAAAATGGTTAATTTTAAAAGTGAACAGTCGGTAAACTAACAAGAGAGAACATTTTCCATTCGCAGGAATGCAAACTTAAATTCAAGTCTCTTCAAACGGGTAAACAGAGGTCTTTTGGTCTGCCAGCAGCTCTGAGGTGTTCAGTGTTCACCTTTGTGCAGTTAGTGTCAAATCACAGTCTTTATTCATGAAGCCTGTCTTTGTCTCTGTTGTGTCCGTCCCTCCCACGTCTCTGGTCCCTGTTGTCTTTGTGGCTCCTCTCTTTGTCTCGGTCCTGCTTCTTCTCTTTGTGATGGTGTGTATGGTCTGTGTGGTGGTGGTCTCTGGGAGGTGTTCTGCTGCGATGGCGGCTCCTCTCCGGGGACTTGCTTCTCGTCCTCGAGTGTCCGTCCCGTGAGTCTCCGCTGCGCCGCTGAAGGTTGGTGGAGCGCAGCGTGTTGAGCAGGAAGCGCTTGTTGGTGCTTCTCAGGGGACACTTTAACCTGAAGGACAGGACAGACAACCTTTAAAACTCTCATTTACCTTTGATACATATGGATGGCTACTAGAGAGCATCATGTATTTTTAATTCAAAAGGCCCTGCTTACTAAGATGCTGTATCCGGATATTTAACATTTCTAGTAGAATTTACAGCTTATAACCGAATCACAATCATTTAAAACTCTCAAGATTGCAGCTATAACTGAGGTAATGACACCGTTTTTGTTTCTTTGTGGTATTTCATGCGGCTGAGAATAAAAAATAAGATAGTATAGTGATGAAAATAAAATAGGAATCCTGACTAAATCTCTGCAAATACCAACCCCAGAAAAAAAAAACTGTTTTTCAGTACTACACCGTGTATTTTTAAAATATTACAAAAAATATCTGGGATCTGTTGATTTCTCAAGTCAAATTGTTATTACGATCTTCAACAATTTTAACACATATCACCTATTTTCCTCCTATTGTGCAGCCCTATCATATTATATGAACATTTCTATTAAGCATTTTTCATGTGTTATAATCACAGACCCTGGTGAGAGTAGTCTGTGCAACAGCAGCCGCTTGAGGTCATAAACAAACACGACAGATTGTACTGAATCTTAACACAAGGAAGAAAATGGCCTCGGTGCGAGCACAGCTGAGCAGCAGGCACATGTCCACCATGACAGCTGATACAGATGGCATGTCAGACGTATCACTCACCATCCTGCGGGGCCCATGGTCTCCGCTCTCACTCGCGCTCTGTCCGTCTCCTTCAGAAGCTCCTCCACCGCACGCCTGCACACCACACGACACCACATGGGGAGAGGACACAGACGTGGAGTTAAGTAACTAAGTACATTTACTCAAGGACAATTGTGAGATATTAGTACTTTACTTGAGAATGTTTTGCTTCTTTGTACTTCTTCCCCACTAGAATTCAGAGGTAAATTGTGTACTTTACACTTATTATATGTATTTATTTACCTAAGAATAAGAGTGTAGGAATACTCTGTTACAGTAAAAGTCCTGCATTCAAAATGTTACTCAAGTAAAAGTACAAAAGTATTAGCATCAAAATATACTTAGAGTACAAAAAGTAGAAGTACTCAATTTCCAGTATGTCCCATATTAGATTAAAAAAATATAACATGTTTGTATTGTAATTATTACTAATGCACGAATGTCAATTGCTAAAGGTGGGTTTATTTAAATGACTTAAGCTACCCTGCAGTATACAAAGTCACCTTTACCAGCTTTGATAACACTTTAATGATCAATCATTATAAAACATATCATATATATTATTCTGAAATGGACCAATCTGCACAATGACTACTTTTACGTTTGGTACTTTAAGTATATTTTGATGCTAATACTTCTGTACTTTTACTTGATTAACTTTTTGAATGCTGGGCTTGTACTTGTAACAGAGTATTCCTACACGTTGGTACTTCTACTTGTACACGATCCGAGTACTTCTCCCACCTCTGTTGAGGACACAGATAGCACAAACCCTCAAGGGGGAGCCAAGGGGAGGATGATTTAATAAGCGAGAGAAAGCGGAGTGATACAGAGGAGAAAGTGAGTCGTTAGTGTCCTGGTTTGACCCGAGCTGCTGAATCAGCATCAGGAGAGGAGAACCACTCGTTTATCCGACCTTTGACCACAGAACAGGCGGCTAATAACTGGGAAATAGTGGCTGGGTTTCATTACAACCACTCTCGTCTTACACAGGAAATACAAACAGCTGTGGACCAGAAATATCTCCTTCCTAACTGGTGGAGGAGTGCTACGGTTTAAAAAAGACTAGCTAGAAACGTAAGCAGCCGTTAGCAGAAGATAAGCAATAAAGTATTTCCTCACTTTTCCAGTTCGTTGTCCTCTGCCATCGCGTCCTTGTAACTCACACGCTGTAATAAAATTAATTGGACTAAAATTGATGTTATCTTAATTAACGCTAGCAACCATTTCTGTTTACTTCCCCGAGAGGTCCTTCAACCAAGGACCCGTGTTTTTATATGTTCTTAGATATGCCTGATAGTAACGCAACTTTCAATCTTTTTGTGACATTAAACCTAGACACAACTATCTTGCTATTTTTGTATCCATATATCTTCATCTGGAAAAGGAACTATAGCAATGCACATCATCTGATACCAGTGGTGAATAACATGGAGAACTGAATTGATAGTTTATGAGCCATTATTAGTTGTGTCCTAACATCCATATCTTATCATATCATATCCATTAATCTCGAATCAGCGTTTTAGTCTTAATTTGCTAATTTAAATTAAATGCTACAAACATTAAGTTAACATTAAAACCCATACTTTCACATTACGGATATTAAGAAGTAGTGAGGGAGGGTTTCTTTTTTTTATTTCGAGCAGGCTCTTTGGAAGCCACCTATGATTCTGCTCTGGATTGACAGCCACAAGCCCCGCCCACTCCCGTTGAGTGACAGCAATGGGCGGAGTCAGCGCCTCCAAAGGAACGGGGGCGTTTTCGTGCGGGTTTGCGGAACGGGCCGTTGCGGTGAATGCGTGAGTGAGGTCCTAACAATCGTCCCCCTTTTTGGGGACGGAGAGCACGGCGCGGAGGAGAAGCAGCCGGAGAAGGTAACATGACATCTGTTCATATTCCGTCCTGCAGGAGAAGGTGTCAGTGTGTGCATGGCTCTGCATTCAGAGTGCCATTGTCGCTTCATCTGTCCTCGCTTCTCCTGCTGCTGGAGGGTGGGATGGAGTCCGACAGATGGGGGCAATGATTACAAAATGTCTAATTAAATGTTTTAACGGGATACTTATAGACCATGACACTTCAAATGTAGTGTTGCCATGCTAAATTGGAATTATGACAGTGAAAACATTCTGATAATTGTAATTTAAATCGGTGTCCGTTTTTTGTTGTTATCATTGCATGTCTGACTGTTTAGCTTATTGCAAACGGACCTCGCAGAGCAGCAGCAGCAGCAGGCCTGCTCTTGCAAGTGGCTATCAGCCTTTCTAGATTCAGTTTTAAGATAAGGGACGATGAGATGGGGTTTATGGAAATGTAGGCTAAGCCGACTGGACCAGAGTTTTTAAATCTGTGGCCTAAAACATCATCTCATCTTGTTTGAAAATGTCATTCCTGCAAGCGAGGTTGTTCATGGCTTGCTCTGGGTTGTAAGATTAAATTGTCATCTCTGGAAAAAAATGAAAAACGAGCAGAGACAGGTGCAGGGCCAAGACTGTTATTTATTAATATAGTGAAAGCAGTGCAATGACAATAACAGCATGGCCTTGGACTCTCTCAGACTCTCACAGTGGGATTCAAAGGGAGATATTTCACTTGCATTTGATAGTGTTCATATGACTTGCGTCAAAGAGTCTTTTGCTACTATGTTTAAAATAGATTTAAGTGCTTTTCATGGCAGGGGCTCTTAACAGCTGCCCCTGTGAAAACCTGAAGATGTTACTTATTGATAAAGACTATTTGCAGGACCCAAAAAGCTCTAGTGAAGGATGTGTTTTTGCTTCTTGCCTGTGAAGACTTCTTCTTGCATGTCTACAAGTCCGTGTGTGTGATGTGGTGATGTCACAGCTTTGTTACAGGAACAGAGAAGCCTTGTGTCCTCATGATTAATTCATGTCCAGCTGCGGGATAGAGACAGAAGCAGCCAGTCACACACAGACAGGAGCACGTACTTAAAGGAGGCTGAAATAAGTAACTACCGGTCCGGTAGCCAAGGAGACAGGGGGAGACAGGTCGTCACAGAAATGGGTATAGCCAGGGAAACAAAGCAAAAAGCAGCTAAATATGAATCAAGGGATGCTCTCATCATCATGGAGCGTTCAGGCTGCAGAGCATCCTGCTGAGAGGAATCAGAATCCGGTTTAAAGTAGGTTCACATACAAGGAATTAGCCTTGGTGGATGTGGTGCATGCACACAGTTAAAGAAGATACATTGGGAGTATAATATGACAAAATCCTCAGAATAATCAAATAAAACATGTGCCGTATTGTTATGGAAGGTGGAAAGGTGTTCAGATATTAAGATAGATACTTTATTAATCCCGAATTAGGTATTTCTTTTGTTCAAGCAGCAGTGTGTTTACTCATTAACATATTTAAACGGTGGAACATACACATAGGATAGTATATAAAGAGGTAGCTTTGTGTACAAATGTGCACAATGTTCGGAGGGTTGTTCAGGACTGACAGTACTTAGATGAATTTAATAAAAACAGATATTGTTTGCATGGTGGGGGGGCCTGTAGCAGACGGGGGGAGAAAATGCATCTGTTGTGCGTCGCTTCTGCATCCTTTTCCTCGGCTACACTCTGAATGTCAAGCCCCACTGAGCAGAACAGGCTCCAGGTCGTCATGGAGACAAGAGCAGACCCCCGCTGCAAACAGAGGCAGGTAGTCAGTGTGTCTTGGCCTGCTGCGAGCCGAGGAACGCCCTCTGCTGTCCACCCATTGCATCAGACCCACAAGGGGGGGGGGGGGGGGGGGGGGGGGGGTTAGCTACCGTCTGAAGGTCTGAATGTGAAACGCTGTGGAAACGAGCTCTGGGGACGCTCTCTCCTCGTGGAGTGCTTTATTTCAAGACTTTGCTGTAGGCATGTTCTCTGCAGAGGAGTGCATCTGCTGTGCACGGACAGAAATATCAACGTGAAAGAATTGATTCTGTTTTCTCTTCCAGAGCCTCACACATCTGTCTCTTCTTTTGCCCTGTGCCACTTTCACATTTCCACATCCCATTAATCTCTCTATCCCCTCATTTTATTTCTTACTCCCTCTTCTTGGCTCAGCCTCTGCTCCTTTTCTACCACGACTCTCTGTTGCTTTCCCAATCCCACTTCCTCTGATCTGTGTCCTCTCTCTGCCTCAATCCCAGATAATTCCCTCTCTGTGGAATTGGAAGATTGCAACAGGCGAGAGCAAAAGAGAGATTATACTGTCAGATTAGTAGACAGGAGCAGCAATACATAATCTCAGCACACACACACACACACACCACAGTGTCCCTTTCCATCACGTGCACAAAGCTTTTGCCACATTAATAAATGCACGAGCACATAATCAGACACTTGTTGTTTTCCCTGAAACAGCTTGTTTAACCCTCTGTCTTTGACCTCTGACCTGCAGGGCAATGTGCCATCAGCCACTGGGGGGCATCTGTCCTTCTGTGGCCTGAAACATCATCTCATTTTGTTTGGAAAAGTCATATTTGCAAGCGAGGTTGTTCATGGCTTACTCTGTGTTGTACGATTAGAAAATGGACAGTAGCAGGGCCAAGACTGCTATTTAACTATATAAAAGGAAGCAATGCAATTAATAGACGCACATAATCAGACACTTTTTTCCCTGAAACAGCTGTTTAACCCTCTGACCTCTGACCTGCAGGGTGATGTGCCATCAGCCACTGGGGGGCATCTGTCCTCGCTGCCACCCCTTCATCCTGTAAAGCTTTTGGGACAGGAGTGCGGGTGCCCCTTCCCAACACTGCAGCCCCACTGGAGTCACCCGTGCCAAAGCTAGGTTGCGTGAAAGCAGCGGAGATGGGCAGCCCGGGCAGCCCCGGCAGCCCGGGCAGCGAGGTGGGTCTAAACGACCCGGTGGAGCCCACTTCAGAAGCCCTGTGTCCCGAGTGTGGGCAGATCCACCGCAGCTGGGAGAACCACCTCTACAACTACCGCCTGGAGGTGGACGACGACCTGGTGTGCCACATCTGCCTGCAGCCGCTCGTTCAGCCCCTGGACACGCCCTGCGGACACACCTTCTGCGCCCGCTGCCTGAGGAGCTTCCTGAAGGAGAGGGACTTCTGCCCGCTGGACCGCACGAGGCTGCAGCTGCCGGCCTGCCGCAGGTCCAGCATCCTGGTGCATAAGCTGCTAGACAAGCTGTCCGTCTCCTGCCCTTTGACCCCCCTCTGCTCCCTCAGCATGCCGCGGTGCGACTTGGAGGCTCATCTCAAACACAGGTAATGAAGCCCACATGATGAATGCACACATGAAAGCCAAGTCAAGCAAGATTTCACAAGCCCTTCGGCAGTGTTGTAGCTGTATGGAAATCACTGACATAATTAACAATGAGACCTAGTGTGTTATGTCTAAAGGTGAAAAATATTTAGTCATTCAAAAGACAGTGAATTGCTAGAAGTTAAATGATTACACGCTTACATTTTAGCAAAAGTTTCAACAATTCATCGGTTAAATCTTCTCAAGAGAGAATGATTTTCTAATTTGTTATCCCATGGTAGGTAATGAAATACTTTGAAGGGTACGTTTGAGGAAGAATTTCATCTGAAGACACTTTGGGCCCATTTTTTCTCCATTTTCTGGATTCAACAATGTATCTGTTAATGGAGAAAATAATTGACAGATTGAAGAATAACTCTAGTTACATTAAAAAAAACTGAAAAGAGTTGCGTTTGAAACCGCTCCGCCCTCACAGTTAGCTTGTCTCTGCCAGGAACTCTTAAGGATGTCCTAGTTCTTAGCCCAGAGCATTTAGACTCACCTGCCACCCTTAACCTAAAGGTTTTCCGTTCCTTTGGCTTTTGGCCCATTTGGACCAGGTGCTGTGAGACCCTGAGGGGATTATTGGGCTGGATAGGTCATGTGACGGGGGATTAGTGTTTCCCTACTGTACAGCAGTCATGGGTTGACTGACCAGGAGCTCCATATTCTCATTCTGCCATCATGCTGAGCAACTTCAACACCAGAGACCTTTTCAACCACTTCTTCTGCGAGACAGCCAAAGGCAACCCTGGCCTGTGGTGAGTCCGACACGGAGGGTGTGGGTCGGCACAATCATAATATAATAATAATGGCACTTCACTCTCCACCTTTCCTTCTGTGTGTCTCTTTCTGGATCTCTCTCTGTTGCTCTGTCCTGCTCTGAAATGCAAGGTGGTGTGTGATTTTGATAGTGCTTCAAAGTTGCCATAGGTTAGGCTGCTGTTGTTGGGTGGATTTAGTTTAAATGCAACATATCAGAGGATACTTAAAAAAACTATACAGTGTGAGGAAATGCTACTTTTCTTTGTACAAACTTTTGTTTTTTTTGTACTTAGCTATAGTTGCGAGGACAAATACTGTAGAAAAATGTCTATTAACTGTAGTTAAAACAAATTAAGATGGTGTCTTTGATAAGAAGCCATCCATCCTAATTGGCTTTCTTATTGACCTGTATCCAGTGACGACCTAACACCTTCATTAAGTAAAGTAGATGAACCATAACAAGCTCACCTTAACAGGCTATTGCCAACAAGGTGTCTATCTTTTCTGGTTAGCTGTTTCTAACCCTATCACGTTTTGAAGGAGGGGCTAACCTTTGTCGCTTTAGGAAGTCACTTCACAGTCAAAAATAAGCAGAAAAGAGCCATTTTAAACTCAGCATACTGACTCTGTTAACACGTCTGTAACAGCAATATGTCTAAATGTAACTAACGTTTGCTAAAATTAGCCTCTGTAAGCTTCCAGTCACAACAGACAGGCAGTGAAGGTGTTATTCTCTCTCATCTGCAACGTTATTGTAAACAGTCTCCTTGTGCAGCTTTTATTCAATCACATGAGCAGAGTGGTATGTCTCAGCGAAGGTTGCACGCATCCTGTCGGTGTTGAAAGGACAGGGAAAGGTGGTTTAAGAGAGATCAGACGGGGTTGATCTGAGGACTAACGTGACATTCTTCAGTGGAGATTAAACCTCTGAGCCACGGAGGTTTGTCGCTCCTCTACTCTGCAGGTCTTAGATAGTAACAGGAGTCAGGAGAGGAGACATGAGATTATAAAATGAGAGGTCAAGCCAGGCCACGTTGTTCTGAGGTGGTGAAGGTGAGCTGGGTGATCTGATCACTGATGGTGAGGCACTGTCACTCCTCCTAAAACCAAAGTGCTCGGATTGGAGCGTCTATAAAAAGGTTAGATTTTTACATTTTGGTTAAAAAGTTTAATTGTTTTCCTCTCAAAACTATATATTTTGGTCTTGGGGGAAATGGTGAAAGATGCATAAGTGAATTCAGAATTAGAAACAACACCGCTTGTTGACTGTTTTCTATTTTAAGATTTGCAAGAGCATCGAATCGTAGGACAGCGATATACATTTAAATTATTCAAAGGTGGGGTATGTCATTTTGGAGAAACCAGCTCCAGTGCGCTAGAATTTGAAAATACACAACCGGAGAAAATCTGCCACTTCCTTCAGACTTCCTTACAGAGCCCCTCCTCCAACACACACAAACGCGCACATGTCCAATGAGGGCACGAGATAAGTTTGTGCACAGATGGAAGGCTGACAGGCAGGTAGGCCATCCAGTTATTTTAGCCGGGCCGGCTCAGATGATTGGTCGTGCTTGTTACAGCGCCACGGCTTCCACAGATGACATTTTATGTATTTATTGTCAAAGCATTTCATATATTCATTGCTATCGGGATGTTAAGAGCATTCCATGGAATATAACAAAAAGTGTATCTGAAATAAATTACATACCCCACCTTTTAGAGTGAGACCACATCGATCCCTTTAGTCTGTCTGTGTTTATTTTTAATTGTCTCTCAAGACTTACTGTTTGTCGGACATAAATCATTTATCCATCTGTTTGTTTTCATAGAAAGAACTTCTCAGAATAGCTGAACTTTTCAACTGTTATGTTATTATCCCATCATTCAGCCAAAAAATGTGCTGATTTCAGCTTCTTATATGTGAGTTTTTGCTGTGTATATCCGTTTTGTTCACATCGTCATGTTTGAAACTGCTGGTTGTTCAAATCAATCATATTGTTGAGTTTGGGAAATTGTGAGGACATCTTTTAACTATGTTCTCATTTCAATTAACTAATACATCCAAATAAACTTGTTTGTACAAATGTGTCTGAAATTGCAGTCACAGATGTTCATATACATTCATTCTCGTGTATATATATATATATATATTCACTGTAAACAGCAGTTTCTCTGGTATTTTCTATAATCATCAGTGTGCCTTAATACATTGGGATCTTTCTACAAAAAATACTTCTTCACCTTTTCTGCTGAATTCCTCCATGTGGCCCCTAACGAGGGGACACACAAACAGAGACTCTCTTGGTTGAATCAATTGCATCACATTAAATTAAAGGTCCAGTGTGTAGGATTTAGGGTAATCTATTGGAAAATGATATTCATTATGAGGTCATCATTAGTGTTTTAGTTAGCTTATAATGAGCCCTTCATACCTACATCAGAGTGATCACCACCATGTGCTCAGAAAGGACCAATCAAACGCTCTAGAGATGGCCTTTTACTTAACCTGAAGTGGAGGGGTGTTGAGTTTGTTGCAATCTGCCACCTCGCCACTAGATGCCGCTAAATCCCACACACTGGACCTTTAACTGATGCTGAACCTGATTTTCTTTACACGTCAGATGGACTAACAAACTGACGCCTGTTGCTTGGTGAAAGGTGTCCCGGGACGAGGAGTCAGCAGACGAGCGAGGACGTCCCGCGGTGTGAGAGCGGGGATGAGCGCGTGACGGTGACCAGCCCCCCCAGGTCGCCCCGCTCCCCACAGACCGTGCTGAGGGACCGCACGCCCACGCCGCCCTCCGGGTCTGATAACACCGCCGTCACTGGGTCCGTGTGGACGGACGACGCCGGCTTCGACAACCCCGCCTTTGAGGAGAGCACGGAGGAAGAAAGTGAGTGGATCTGGGCTCGTAAGTAGGGTTAGATTATCAATGAAGTCAATACAGGTTAGATGAGACAAAATGTATCAGACACTGTAGAAATAATCCTCACCACACCGGGTTCGAATCCTTCTCGTGGCTTTTTGCTTCGTTCTTTCTCCCCATTTCCTGTCTCTTCTCATCTACAATAAAGGCACAAAAGATCATCTTCAAGAAAAATTAATTATCTATCCTTTAATGTCGCTCCGTCTCTAGGTGTGGTAGGGATGGAGTGTGTGGTCCCCAGGGTGAAGCGGCCCCTCAGTAACCCCTGCATCCACCTCCTGCGATCAGTCAGCTCCACCTCCTCCGGCTGGGACTGCGCTGAGTCTCCGCCCCTTTCTGCTGAAGAAGGTATGACATCACTTCCTCAATTTGGATCAGCATCTTCCTACAGAGCTGCATAATGAGTACTTTTACTTTTGCTACTTTAAAAAGGTCCCCTATTATACTGTTTTTCATCAATATATTATAGGTCTCATAAGGCGCTTAGGTTACCTTGGTTGGTGATTGGCTAATGGTTACACAAGCCACAAAATCATGACATAAAGTGGCCAAAATCTGATCAGCTCATTTTCAGACAGGTTTTTATATAAATGGATCAGGACAAAAAGAGAGAGAATCTTTTTTCCTGAAACTTTCAGAGGGGACACATGTTGATGTAGAAAAGACAAGAAAAAGTGGATTTTGCATGATAGGTGACCTTTAAGTATCTTTTGATTCTGCTTAACTAGTAACAGAGTATTCTTACACTCTTGTACTTCTACTTTTACTCAAGTACAAGATCTGAGTTCTTCTTCCACCTCTGCAGGGCTGAATAATAGGACAGGATAATCACATCCAGGCTACATAAGGATGAATTTGGAGAATCAGCTGTGTAATGTAATGTTTTGGTCCATGTAGGCTGTGTGAAGTTGCCTTCGCTTCCCGAAGGAGAGATAACTTCCATCGAGGTCCACCGGGCGAACCCGTACGTGGAGCTGGGCATCAGCGTGGTGGGGGGGAACGAGACGCCGCTCATCAACGTCGTGATCCAGGAAGTGTACAGAGACGGAGTCATCGCACGGGACGGGAGGCTGCTGGCCGGGGATCAGATCCTGCAGGTAACACTAACAGGTCACATTTCATACAAGAAGCTTCACTTTAACTATCAGTGGTTGTTTTCACTCATGTTAACTTTAGCTGTTATGGCAGACAGTAAAATCAGTTTATAGCTTTGTAAATTTGATAAGTAATTTTCTGAATTATTTCTTAGGATTTTTTCTATATCTAGCAAATATCCTTCCACTAAATAACTTTTTTTGCTATTGTTCTACCTATTAAGGCTGCCATAATCAACATTTGTATATGAATAATGCATGTTATGACTACTTATATGTACAGTAAGTTGTGAGAAATAGGATGAAAATGGTTAACCAGTTTTGCAGTACCTCGATTGTAAGGAGCATTTTAGCACAACCATTTTCTCAGTAGATTGAGGAAACCCAAGCTTACCTGCGAGTGAATATTGGAGTTATTTGTCAGATAGCCAGAAACAGAAGACTTCAAATGTGAATGCTCATATCAACCAACAAATTAATGCATGTTTAAAGATGAAATGCCCATCCTTTCCTCTGACCTGTTTTCTCTCAAGGTGAACAATGTGGACATCAGTAATGTCCCCCACAGTTTCGCCCGCTCCACCCTGGCGCGTCCCTGCACCACCTTGCAGCTGACGGTGCTGAGGGAGCGGCGCTGTTCCTCCAGGGCGCCTCCCTCCTCTTCCTCCTCCTCCACCCCCGCTGTGCCCCACGCCCCCTGCTCCACGCCCGAGGGCGCCCCCTCCAGCCCGGCCACCCTGAGGATCACCCTGAACAAGAGGGATTCCGCGGAGCAGCTGGGCATCAAGCTGGTGCGGCGGACGGATGAATCCGGAGTGTTTGTGCTGGATCTGCTGGACGGAGGCCTGGCGGCGAAGGACGGCCGGCTGAGGAGCAACGACCGGGTGCTGGCGGTCAACGAGCAGGACCTCCGGCACGGCACCCCGGAGCAGGCGGCACAGATCATACAGGTGCTTCTTTTGGTCTTTCTATAAGTAACTAAGAACATGAAGAACAAAGAATCAGGATTCCCAGAGAGGGGACATTTACATTGTTACAGAAAAAGTAAAGAGCCACGGTGAGGAAATGTTGAATATGGTTAATCTATTTGGAGAATTGTAAGCTGTACTCTGCTCTGTTTGTGGATGTGCTTTTATTGTATTTTTGTTGAATTAGTTAATTTGCAAATGTAATTATATTCTTGGTCTGTACTTTAAACTGATTTCTAGTAACTGCACACTTTTTATGCATTATTTCGTAATCTGCCATATGTCTAATGTTGGGGAATGTTCGGTTGTGTTTGTGTAATGTGATAAATGTAAAACATCACAAAACACTACCAATAATAATTACAAAGTGGTATATATATATATTGCACATACGTAATATTGCACAACAGAGGTGTATAGTCAGTGTAGTGCATTTGAATGAGTAATTAAGTCCATAAAACTGTGTCTCCCCAGGCCAGCGGAGAGCGAGTCCACCTCACGATTTGCCGACCCGCCAAACCGGCTTCTCCTTCACCGCCTAAATCCGGCTCCACCCGAGACCTCTACTGCCTTGATCACTTCCTGCCTAACCACAGCTGCACCCCGAGCCCTGTGCCCGCCACCCTCTCCCGCTCCAGCACCCACAGAGTGAGCAGTGTGTCTGAATATATATGTGTGTGTGTGTGTGTGCGCACATTGGGTCAGAAAAGACATGATTTAGCATCAACAAAATGCAAGTGTTTAGTGATTATAAGCAGTTGGTTAGATAAATATGGTTGATTTTTGTTTGGACATGAGTGAAAGCTGTACCTGTGTGTCCCCAGGACCTCTCCCAGTGTGTGACCTGTAAGGAGAAACACATCACGGTGAAGAAGGAGCCCCTGGAGTCTCTGGGTATGACGGTGGCTGGAGGGCGGGGCAGTAAGAGCGGGGAGCTGCCCATCTTTGTGACCAGCGTCCAACCACATGGCTGCCTGGCGAGGGACGGGCGAATCAAACGAGGTGAGCGAAGAACAGGAACAATTCAGATCAAGAACATCAGAAACTAGAATATGCAAGTCCTGAAGAAAATGCGGTGGGAATGCTGTATGTTAGTTATGTAAGGGGGGTGGAGCAAAGTGTGCATGTCCTAATTGAGCTGCACGTTGCGATGTAAAATGAGGGAGAAGAAGCCAATGAAAATATGGGGCAGAACATACAGTATGTTTTTTTTTAAACATAGATTTTATTATTTTCATGAACTACAATACAAACAAAGTGTCAGAGAGGTCAAAAAGGATATACATTACAAAGACCGTGTCAGGGTTCGGATCAATAGTGGCTTAGTGAAGGGTCTTATAGGTAGTCCATTTTCAAGTCCTGATTGAGTCTTTCCATATGGAGTATCTCCTCCATACAGTGTGTTGTGAATGCTGACTCAAACTACAGCGTCTTTTTCCTCCTCCTCCAGGTGACGTGCTGCTGAGCATCAACGGGCAGGACTTGACGTACCTGAGCCACAGCGAGGCGGTGGGCACCCTGAAGGCGAGCGCCGCCTCGCCCTCCGTCCAGCTGCGGGTGCTGGAGGTCAGCATGGTGGTGGAGGAGCAGGACCGCGACGAGCTGCTGCCCCATACACACGACAGCGACTTCGATGCTAACTGGTCTCCATCGTGGGTCATGTGGCTCGGACTACCCAGGTGGGCACATCTGAACACCTGGGACGATATCATCTGATATATATAATGTCAAGATAAATTGTCGCTTGATTAATACAAATATAACATCAATATATCAGTGCATTAATTACTGTCTGTTCAGGTCAACATTCAGGGTTTGTCTTTGAATTCAGCCTGATTGGTTATTTAAATGTTTGGTAGGGTGACATTTTACAATTAGTTGCAAGGTTTAATTGCCTAACAGAAATCAAAATTAACAAGAAATTTGATAAAATCCTCCCAAATATGGTGATTTCCTGATTCTCTTTGATATATATCATTATAAACTAAATATATGTTTTGGTTTCAGACTGACAAAACATAACATTTAAACACTTAAATCACCTTGGACTTCGAGGAACTGGGATGGACATTATTGACTATTTTCTGTCACCTTATAGACCTGACGATTAATCGAGATAAAAGGCAAAGTATTGAATAATGAAAATATTTGTAAGTAGAAGTTTTAGGAGATGAATCATCATCTTTGCCTACTCTCTCCCTGCAGCCTCCTGCACAGCAGTCATGAGATCGTCCTGCGGAGGAGCCACCCGGGCAGCTGGGGCTTCAGCATCGTGGGGGGATACGAGGAAACCCACGGCAACCAGGCGTTCTTCATCAAGACCATCGTCCTCGGAACACCTGCGTACTACGACGGCCGCCTTAAGTGAGTGATCAGTTCATCGTGTGACTGTCTGTGGCTTCTGTTAGCATGAGTAGGTAGATAAACCGTGACCTTCAGTTGGTGATCAATACTGTAAGAGTGGCGTTATGATAAACCACGAAGAACAACGCACATGACATCACTATGTAACACTTGCTCTTCTATTGGCTCGCGCTCCAACATATTGTACATCATAGGCTAAGGGGCGGGACATCTTTAAGCGGTTGATCAATCACAACAGAGCTGGCCAGCTAACCAGAGCAGACTGGGCTCTGGTTTCAGACAGAGGGTGAAAAGAGGTGCTGTAGCACAGGCAGTATGAGAAAAATAAAGAGTTTTTTGAACATTAAAGCATGGAGACATGTCCCAGTAGAGACACTACATACCGATATGAACCTGACAATGTGCAGAATAAGGCCCCTTTAACTGTAATTTCAAGCTTCCTGCCACGCTGACTGTCTTTTCAAATGTGTTCACATGATGTTCTGTAACAGGCACCTCCCTCCTCGCTGTCAGGTCCTGTTTATAATCCCCACTGACCTGTCTCTCTAGGTGTGGAGACATGATCGTGGCAGTGAACGGCCTGTCCACAGCAGGGATGAGCCACTCTGCGCTGGTGCCCATGCTGAAGGAGCAGCGCAGCCGTGTGGCGCTCACTGTGGTCTCCTGGCCCGGCAGCCTGGTGTAGTCGCGGCCAAAACCACACAGAATGTTTCTATATTGGGAACGACCTTGGCCAAAGTGAACTGGTACACACTACTGTACATCCCTCCATACCGGGCTTAACCAGGACCAAAAGCATCCAGAACTGTAGTAGACCCAGCAGGACCAGGTGGGAACTGATCCAGACCGTGCCATGTCACCTGACAGACTCTCACACACTGCTGTGCTCATATGGTCATGTTGTTATCACTCCTGCAGGGGGGACATGGTACTGCAGGCTCTGTGTTCACCTCACCAGGCAGTCGCTGTATTCAGGTGGATGCATGGTAGACATATTAAAGTAAAATTAGCCATGACCCTCCATCATCTAGGATAATGACTTGTAATCATGATGCTCTGCAGCACCATCCAGCTGAATAAGCCTCGGGCCTTATTAGAAAACCTGCCGCACCCTGGGGGGGAGGGGCTCGACTGCCCTTAGGCCTAATCACCATGACAACCAGCTGTCCCATCAGCCGGAGTTTTATACATGTGTGTGAATGTGTATACCGTTTGTTTAATAAACATTTCCTTCGAAGGATTAATGGCTCTACAGCGTGCTTTTTAACTGGGCAAGTGGGAATTGTCTGTTAATGAGCAAGAGGCAGTTTACTAGGATATTGCTGTGTTAAGGAGGCTTTATTTTCATATTTCCTGAAAGAAACTATAAACAGAAAATCATAATGTGAACACGTGCAACCAGATATTTATATAACGAAGCCTCAGGGTTTGTTGGTTTATGGTTTGTCTTTTAGACGTTTAAAGGCCTTTGTCTTGGGCAGCTTCACAGTGAAAATGTTGTAATGCAAAAATCTCTTATTGAGACACTGTGAAACATGCCAGGGCTGGTTCTTCTTCGGAAGCAGTCTCTGCAAGGGGAACACACCAATAATTATAATACAAGGACAACATGGAGCGGAGAAAAGTCACATTTACTATAAAAAAATTAATTTAAAAAAGATGCATTACCTTCAGCTTTCTCTTTGCTGGGTCATGCACCACTCCATGTCGCCACAGGCTTTCCTGATAAAAATGAGACCAGTTAACATCTACAAAAATAGAAGCAAGTTCATAGATTAGTCAAAAAAAGCTCAAAATAACATTTCATAACTAGCAAGGTATTGATTCAGTTTATAATGTTTTTTAAGTGTTGTAATATCTGCCACAAGCCAATGAGAATAGTTACCATCTACACTGTAGCAGCATTTTAACGGTTTATAGTCACCCAAAACATTCAATGTCTATAAATAAATAGTTCAGTTTTGAATGTGTTAAGAGTTTTGTAATATTTGACAGAAGCCAGGTATAATACAAGGTTACTGGAATCTAGTTCGTGCTGTTCAAAACACCTTAAATGTAATAATTAGCACATCATGCAACAATTAATCTCCTGTTTCTCAGGATAATCTCAAGACTCATTCAGCCCAGTTCCTACTAACAATTTCCCTTAGTTTAATATAAAACTACTTTACATGGAGCAAGGTCTTCATTATCCAGAGAAACACAAGAAGCAAAGCCTTAAGCAAGTAAAACCCTAAGCAAAGCATTTCATATCAAATTGCAGGCCTTACCTTCATGGTGAAGCTCTTCCCACAGCCAGCGTGCGAGCAGCTGAAGGGCTTCTTGCCTTGATGCTCTCCCAGCACATGACTGTCCAGGTTAAAGCCATGAGTGAACGTTTTACCACAGCCGAGGCACACCAGCATCCACTTGTGTTGACAGTGGACACGCTTCGCGTGCTGTTCTTTGAAATAGGCTTTGTTAAACACCTTGTTGCACTCTCCACAATGCACCTCCTTGAGGACCTTGACTAAAAAACAAGAAGTATTAAACACAAGTGCAATGCGAGTCATATTAACACTTTGCAGCATTACTCGTACCTTTATGTTCTTTTCTGTGCTTCAGATATTCTGTCCACGTCTTTCCCTGCAAAGTACACGCTTCATTCTCACAAGGGTAACCTGCAGAGGAGAGTTTTGTTAAAAACACACAAATAAAATCAGGAATCAAATCTTTATGGTTATCAACCAACCTTCATGCACTTTCTCATGATGCTTCAGCTTTCGGAGGGAGAGAAATTGTCTTGTGCAGCCACTGACAGTACAACTGCATTAAAAGATAAATAAAAGATCAGATATTACATCGCCAAGGACAGATACTATTGCGTCAGATGTGCAGCTACTCACGGGAAAGCCAGAATCAGGTGTTCACCCAGATGGGCTTTCAGTTGGTTCCTCTTGCTGAAATCATTTCCACAGCCCTTACACTAAAACAGAACAATGAGCAACACTACATCATCACAGTGAACCCAAACCTATGTGTGATAAAGATACAATGGCTATTTGTAGGATTATTTTTACTCGATATAGCCTATCCTTGTGCTGGTGAACCCGAGCCATGTGGTTCTTCATGCTAGTGTATGTCCCAAAGCCTTTGGAGCATCCATCAGCCAGACACCTGGAGACCAGAGAGGGTAACAGTTCAAAGCAAAGCCAAGGTTACATTTTATTATAATAACCAGGCATTTAAAATAGGGAACACAGTGGCTTACTTGTGTGGTTTTTCTCCACTGTGATTGCGCTGATGTCTGCTGAGTCGATAGCGAGCGCTAAAGCTCTTGTCACATTGCGAACATGTGAAGGGTTTCTGAGATTTGGGGAAACATATGTCACATTACTCCACTTTCTCATGTAACTTCTTCTGTTTGGCCACTTACCAATCCTGTGTGTTTGCAAAGATGAGCCTCAAGCCTCCATGACTTACTGAAGGTAGCTTTACAATCTAAAAAAGAACAAACTAAGCTTTTGTGACTTTGCAACTTCTCTTCCATCTTTAATAAGAGATGTCAGTTGTTGTGTTTTGGTCACAGACAATGCTATAGTTGTAAAGGGGCAGGACATGTACTGACCTCCAATGCAGCAGCACCACCTGTGCCTAATTTATCTTATTGGGATGTACCAATTAAAGCAGGGACGGGGGTGTCCTACTCCACTGAAACTGAAAAATATGCAAGTATTTTACTACGACAAATGGATATTCTTTTTTTAGACACTTGTGCAACATATGATATGCTAAGAAGATTTGGGCCCCTGAGTGTAATCCCATTGATACTCAAACGTTATAAATGTCCATGACTCTTTCCTCCACATTGATTGATTCAGGCTCTAAAAATGTCACCTTGGCTCCTTCAGTGTGTTTCCCTATCTGCTGATCTGCTGTGCAGGGAGAGAGGCGACTGTCTGTCTCGATTAATCACACACACATACACACACACCAAGAATTTACTGCTCTAATCTTAATCTTATCAACCCTCCAATATTGTTTTCTGATAGGTGTGATTTATTGTTTTCAGAAAGTAGACTTCAGTGAGATCCTTTGAGACCAACAAAGCTGAAACTAAATCAACCTTTCTAAGCCTTTAAGCATTCACACACAGACAATAAACACAAATACCGATATTTCGCAAATGAAGATACTTGTGAGGTTTGATGACCAGTAGCTAATGTTTGCTACTGTTAGCTTACTTTAAGAACATGATGTAAGACACATTAGATTGTTTCTTTGGTCACTTTATGACACTATTTCAGCTAAATGCTAAACAATGTCACATTAAAGCTATGCTAACTTTAGCTAAACAGTAGCCACTGTAGCTGCAATTGACAATAATAGTAAACGCTTAAACAGCTGTATCAGTAGCACAAGAAGAACAGTCATAAACGAGCTAAGTGACTCAGTAACTGACTCATGGAGCAATATATGTCTAAGGTTAACTAACATAAGTCAACTTTAGCTGCTAATAAACTACTGGTCACACTACTTAAGGCAGGTAGTATATGCACTGTATTAATATATAGGTCGAAGACTATTTATTTCTTCCTTTAAAAGTTAAAGTCAATCTGAATGCTGAAACTGTCATTTAATTTAATAAGAAACTCAGCTTTTAAACTGCTTAAGGCATTAAAGGTTAGCCTAAATGCTAAAACATTCTGTAAGAATATCACCACTACAGAGATGTCATTGTCAACTAATCAAATAGTTAGCATTGTCTGCAAGACAGCTAAATCTATTTCAACCCTTTTATAAAATGTTTAAATTAGCTATGATTAGCCACATTTTTTATACAATACATCCATTTACCAGACAGGGTGTATTGAATTGAGCAAGGTACGTCTGCCTGTTTACGAATTCCACTTTTCATTAGTAAAACCAATTTTTTCTTACATAGACTTGCTTTAGAGCCATTCTTAGGTGCTGTTGGAGAAAGACAAAGACACTGACAATCCAATAACACTATCTGCTTGTCCAAACATTGGAGATCACCCTCTGAACCCGTGCCATGCTCTCATGTGAAACCTTTGACTGAGTCCTGTGAATGAGGCCTATTGAGAGCCTGTTGGGCGTTACCTCGCTGCCCTCCCACGCTTCAGGTGAGCCAGCCTGGGTCAGTTGACAACATTATCAGCCTCTCCTCATCCGGTCCCCCCACCTCAGGGCCAGGATCAATACAGCTGGCCGAATATCCACATATATGACCATGCCTGCCCCCTCTCTGATAACCACACAGACTCTATCACCACACCTATCACACACACAGATACAGCATGCACTCTGTTTGGCCTGCAGCGGGATTTCCTTGAGCCTTTGTCCAACCTCCAGGCCTTTCCCAAACACACACACACACACATATCTTGTGGACATACACTGTTCACACCCACGATTTCATCACAAATATGAGTTTTTAGACCACTGACGGCTTTTTTTCCCTACAAATAGGGGCCTTGGAGGGGGCCAAGAGAACAGATCTTAAAGGGTTTGTTCACCCAAATCATAAAGTAACATTTTCTAATTTACCTCCTTAGGGTTTTTTTAAACGATTCGTATATTTAACATAACTTCAGGGGAACTATTGTACTTTTTACTCGACTTTCTTATTAATTAAATAGTCGCTATGTTTAAACTGACTATATACAAGGTACTTATTAAAACTTTGCGCACAAACCTAAGAGCTAATAAAATATGACCACCAGCCTAAACACAATAATAGGAATAATGAGGGCTTTAAACATTTCCAAAAGCCCTTTACTATTGTTAAATATCATGAATGTCATATTATAACACTTTCCATTCTGCATACCTTTACTTTTGATATTTGTTGTGATAAATCTGTGAATTATGTGGAGTAACCAATGTTTCTGGAAATTAAAAAACTTTTTTAACTGCTTGAATGTCACAAATGTAATCCCTAATGTCCTCAGAGAAATCTCAGACACAATCTAGGCACTAAAACTGGCCTTGAAATAGATATTTGACTCGATAACTACAGATTATTGTAAGAAAACCTGTTTTTTTTACATCTGGATGAACCTATCCTTTAAATTAAGTGAGATCAGTGGAAATCATTTCATAAAGTGCCACATTTCCACACTCTTGCATCAGTGGTGTCCACATCCAATGATCTGTTTGTGTGTGTGTGGTTAATGTGTAACACCGCAGGTCGATACGGCTGCTGGCTGAGCTGACAGACTCAATCTGTGTGTGTCAAACATGTGTGATTAAAGAGTTCATAGTGCTCCACGGCTTTTATCCACCATCATCTTCCCTCCCTCTGGCCGGCTTGCTCTCTCCCTCTCCTTCTCTGTTTACTTTGTCCTGCTTCAATCAGTAACCTCCATGAGTCAGTGTATCTGTGAAAACACACACACAAAGGGCTTACTGTAGATGTAAAGGCAGGATTATGGTATAAGAAGAATGCTGAAAAGACTTGCAATCCACATATTTGCTCATTTGATCCGTTTTCTACCTAAAAAAAGTGGGAATACACAGAAATATAGAGGGATTTTTCACCTTATCTCAATACCACAAGCAAGATCCAGATCAATACCAAGGGCTTTGGCTGCCACCCGCTCATTGATTGATTGCATTTTATTTTTCCATCTGTTTTTTCCTGGTTCTCCTCAGGTTGTTGGATACTTATTACTCCGTCCTGATAAGAGTTGTGTACGACTTATCTGACCTGAGGCCTGCAGGGTTATGAAGGTGAAGAAAGACGACCACTGCAGGTTTATCTCAACACCATTGTCCAGGAGGAGATTACATAATCCATTTAGTCTTTCCTCTTTTTTTAAATGATTTCACTTCCATATACCCCAAGAAAATTCAAGTGATGCATCCACAGAAATGGAATATAATCCTAGAATTGATTCACTGTTGGCCTTCTCGCTCCTGACCACACACACACACTTCACGCTGTCAGCTGCTCCCTATCTCTGTAAACTGGTCCTAATTCGTGTCAATATTGGGTAAAGTACTGAGGTGCGATGAGATAACCTATTTGTCACATAACCAGCCAGCCATTCAGCCTCCACTGATTAAACAGCACACATCAAGTGGTCCACGCACACGCACACACACAGCGTGACAGGCAGCTCATAAACACACACAGGTATGACTGATTGATTTTATATTTGTATCTAGAGGAAAATACTATAAAATGGATATAGGCAACTTAACAATACAATCATTTTAGCGATATGTCAACTTAAAGGAAGAAGTACTATAACTATTATCTTAATCTAATTCACCAAAAACGACAGAAAGGTTAACAAATGCATGTAATGCCCATGATGGCACATTAATTGCTTTGACATGCTTAAATTGGTTTCAGGAGTGAGTTATTCTGTACATATTCATAGCTATCTTAATTGTTACATGTGAATGCAACTTTTTTAAATTGACACCGACTTCCCTTAATGTTTTTATAAATCAACATCTAGCGAGTATTCAGTAAAATATTGTAGATATTGTTTTTATATTAGATTGTGTGTTCGGGTGGGGAACAACTAAATATGGTTCACAACTAAATGAAGGACAATGACGATTATTCCAAGCTTAACATGTCCTGGTGCACACTGCCACCTAGTGTACAATCACAGTCACTACCTTGGGGGACCCGACTGTTTTAATCAATGCAATTTACTGTGCAGACATCACCTTAATTCAAAGTCTAAGAAAACATACATAAGGTGCCAGGCATTGAGCATGGAAATATCATTTAAATAATCTGATTTAATATTTTAAGCAACTCTAGTCCCATTTATAACCAAATAATTGATACTTACATAATATAAGTATTGTGTACACAAGTCTGTTATGAGAAAAACTGCCCAAAAAATAAATGTACTGTATGTTACCCAATAAAGGCTGTTTTTCTCTAGAGGATTACAATATTGACACATATCGCAGCAATGCACTAGAGCTAATTATTCAAGACGTATATAGTAATAAAAAGGCTTTACAGACGCATGTAGAAAGTAAAAATAAATACCGTTGAAGCTTTAGTTCACGTGTCAAACTCAAGGCCCGGGGGCCAAATCAGGCCCTTGGTGGATTTAATTTCGGCCCGCAGGATAATTTCTAATTGCTATTAGATCTGGCCCGCCGGTATATTGCACGCACACCTTCACTCAATCCTGAGGGTCTCCTCAGCTCAGAGCCTGACCCCAAACATTGATGAACTTGCACCCAAGATGAGATGCCAAGTATCTGAACTAGCATCACAGAGCAGCACACTGAGTTTACATGGATGTTTCCTTCTGCACTTTCTTTCTTGTAACAAAAGGGCATGTTTGGTTTTTTCTTTGAGGGAAATAGTTTTGTTGAAGCTGTTGTTGGCCTGTGGAAAAATGTAATCGTAAGAAATGACTCTGGGAAAGCTGCAGATAGACCCATAAGAAATGAATGCAACTGATTATTTAATGTTTAATGTTGTTTTTATAGGCAATAATTTAAGCTTTGTTAGTTCCAGGTTTAATATGTGCATTAAGTTCATTTCAATAAGTTCATTCAATAAACATTGAACCAGTCCGGCCCTCGACTAGTACCCATTTTTAAATTTTGGCCCA